CAAAACTAAACACAAACATTTATAGCAACTTCTTAACTGCCAAAAGCCAGAAGCAATCAAAATGTCCTTTGATAGGTAATAGACTGGTGCATCCATACGATGGAATTATTATTACTCAGCAATAAAAAGAAATGAGCAATCAAGCCACAAAAAGACATAGGGAACCTTAAAACTTCTATTTTTAGTGAAAGAAGCCAGTCTGAAAAGACTACACACTGTGTGATCCAACTTTATAACGTTCTGGGCAAAAGCAAAACTATAGAGATAGTAAGAAAATCAGTAGTTGCCAGGGGCACAGAGGTGGGGGAAAGACGGGAGGCAGTAAAGAGAGTTGAACAGATCAAACAGGGCATTTCAGTGTGGTAAAACTATTCTGTAGAATACTGTAAAGATGAATATGTGACATTATGCACTGTCAAAATCCACACAACTGTATAGCACAAAGAGTGAATCCTCGTGTAAACTATGGGTTTTTAGCTAATAGTAAGGTATAAATGTTACTCATCAATCTTAACATACACATCACACTAACACAAGATGTTAGTACTAGGGAAACTGCAAGGAAGAGGGAATACATGGGAACTCTGCACTATCTGCTCAACTTTTCTATAAACCTAAAACTGCTCTAAAATATAGTTTACTAATTTTTTTAAGCAATAAGGATGCATATTATCACAACTATTATATAACTATTCTGGGAATATAAGATATTTTAATTGGATAAGAGGACATATAGGAAAAAAACCACCAGTTGAAAAATATAATAGAAGTTATAAGACTTTATGATAGCAACAACAAAAAAATAAGAGCCACAACTAGCAGTAAATTCTACAATTAATAAATGTGAAGAAAACTTTCAAACTGTTCTGGGTAGAAAAGACTATAATACCATAAGCTGATACCTTTTTCTTATAAGGGAAGAAATAATACTGAAAAGATAAACACTACCAAAAAAATTCATTAGTAGCAATTATAACAAGGGACACCTGGGTGGCTCAGTAGGTTAAGCATCTGCCTTTGGTTCAGGTCGTTGATCCCAGGGTCCTGGGACTGAGTCCCATATTGGGCTCCTTGCTCAGTAGGGAGCTTGCTTCTCCCTCTGCTTGCTGCTCCCCTGCTTGTGTTCTCTCTCTGACAAATAAATTAAAAAAAAAAATCTTAAAAAAAAAAAAAAAAGGCAATTACAATGAAAATGCCAACATGCTTTTTTTTGGATCTCTAGAAACATTCTAAAGTTCATTTGAAAGTATAAGTATCTGTACATGTACCAAGTCCAATTTATAAATCACTCTAGTTTCAAAATCTAGCAAAGTACTTGGGATAAGTGCTTGAAAAAAATTGAGAAACACCCTGAAAAAGAAAAATTAGGAGAGGAATCTTCCCATATCCAACATTAAAATTTAAACTGATGGTATAATAAGGACAGAGACCAGTGGGATAACAAGTAATACAGAAACAGACAAAGCATACAGGAATTTAATATTATAACAAGGGTAGAAATTCAAACACTTAAGGAAAAGATAAACACCAATATGTTAGCCATTTGGAAAAAATAAAGCTAGATTCATACTTTATACATAAAACTAAATTACAGATCGATCAAAAAATTAAAAAATTAAAGTAGTGGAAGGCAACAAAATGTGTATGATGTGATCTAAGAATTGAGAAGCTCCTCCTAAGCATGAAATAAAAACCATGAGTTTTTCTAGTCTGTCACTAAAACATCTAGCTAGAACAATAACAAACTTAATTAAATACAATGGATACTCCCTGGAACCTAGACTAGATACCATTTCCCATTAAAAGACCTCCTCGGAGAAATTTGATGCCATGTGTGCAGCAGGAACATTTTGTTTAACAGAGAGCAAGGAAACTGCTAAAGACATATTAAGATCACTGATATTAAGATCAACCAAAGGAACTGGGAACCAGCATGAATAGGCCTCTACTTGTTAAAGATGGGATGATTCAAACATCAAGAAATAATAACTTGAATGGACTAAAATACCTCCAATATTTTTAAATTCATAAATTCACTTATAAGGACACTGAAAACATCATAAGCTCATTTATAACGAAACTAAAACCAAAAACAAACAGAATCCAAACTTCATGGGACACCTTTGAAGAATACAAGTAAATAATGCAATATTTTGAAAAATGATAAGCAAGAACTATCATAAATAACCTATCTAGCCTTTTCTCTAGGAACTTACTATGCCTCAGAGAAACCAAAAAGTTGGTAAGAGGGAACGTTTACATTTTACAACTCTTAATGAAGTGATAGATTTAGGTGATGATCCTCAATGGCTGTTGACATCACAAAAAAAGAGACAAGATATTATATGTCTCCTGATGGAAGTACACAATGCCACTTCTAAAACTCTCTTCATAAAACTCAAACAATTGAGAGAAAAGGAGCAGAGGGATAGAGAATCTGAAGCCAACTCTGTGCCAAGTGCAAGCCCAACGCAGGGCTCCGATCTCATGAGCGTGAGATCACAACCAGAGCGGCTGCCTAACCGACTAAGCCACCCAGGAGCTCCTGTATTGAAACTTTTCTAACCATCTCAGCATTGCATTAACTGTCCACTATGCTGCCAACTACCTCTTTATAGCACTTATTTATACCATAAGTTTGTTTCTGGATGTGCTTCTATAGAAGCTGAGAATGATCCTTTTTATTTCTAACTCCTAGCACATACACCCTCCTAGAGGGTACTCAGTAAATATTTGCAGAATCAAATTGAGATGGCAGCATCTAAAACTGGCTTTAAAAAGTGACAGTCTCTAGGAAGCCTTGTTGAGTCTCATTCCAAAAAGACTTTCAAAGAGAAGGCACAGATCAAATCTTGTAGCAAGATGGGAAATTGTGTCGTGTATTTAGGCATTTAGACTCATGAACTCCAGAAACTTTTTTTTCTTGAAATACTATAAGTGTTTCATCTAAAGCAACTATTCCCAAACTTTTTAGTCAACAAACAGTATTAGGTGACTACCTATTACATTAGCTTCCATTTGCATGAAAAGACAAAAAGAAAATCTAAAAAAAGTAAAGATTACAGTTGACTTTGGTGAAAAACCTTTCAAATTAACTTACAACATAAACAAAACAAAGGTCAAAATAAACAAATAAAAGAAATAATCAAAGACCACTGAAAGCACTGACTTGTGCTAAACTACCTTTTGACAAACAGTCAAATGCCTATAGTATACACATATAAAACTGGAAATGATAGTTACCTTTACTAACATGATAGAACCTTATTCATTTTTTTAATTGGGAAAAAAAAAAACCAGCAAAAACCCACAAGTAGAGACCTGACAAAATGATTTCATGACACCACTACTGGGTTGAGATTTAAAGTCTGATGAACACTGTCCAAAGTTGTGCACACTATTAATAATCCCTTACTCTAACCCTCCTACACTGTTGGTGGGAATGCAAGCTGGTTCAACCACTCTGGAAAACAGCATGGAGTTTCCTCAAAAAGTTGAAAATAGAGCTACCTTATGACCCAGCAACTGCACTACTGGGTATTTACCCTAAAGATACAAATGTAGTGATCTGAAGGGGCACGTGCACCCAAATGTTTATAGCAGCAATGTTCACAATAGCCAAAACATGGAAATAACCTAGATGTCCATCAACAGATGAATGGATAAAGACGATGTGGGAGATATATATATATATATATAGATATATAGATATCTATCTATATATCTATATATATATATATATATATTAGAATACTATGCAGCTATCAAAAGAAATGAAATGAAATCTTGCCATTTGCAACAACGTGGATGGAACTAGAGGGTATTATGCTGAACGAAATAAGTCAATCAGAGAAAGACAATTATATGATCTCCCTGATATGAGGAAGTTGAGAGGCAACGTTGGGGGTTTGGCGGGTAGGAAAGAAATAAATGAAACAAGATGGGATTGGGAGGGAGACAAACCATAAGAGAGTCTTAATCTCACAAAACAAACTGAGGGTTGCTTGGGGGTATGGGGGTAGGGGGAGGGTGATTGGGTTATGGACATTGGGGAAGGTATGTGCTATGGTGAGTGCTGTGAAGTGTGTAAACCTGGCGATTCACAGACCTGTACCCCTGGGGCTAATAATACATTATATGTTAATAAAAAATAAAAAAATAGAAAAAAATTAATCCCCTACTCTACAGTGATAGCCACAACCCCACAACAAACCTCTATATGAAGTTTACAGTAAAAGTACATCTGTAGTATATCATAAAAATTATGAACAGCAAATATAATTTTTAAAAGAATATGGTAATTACTGCTCTCAGTTAAAGTGAAATGGAACTTTGATATCCAAAAAAATGAAGGGTATTATGTCTATTAAGACAAGTGCCTTAGTCCTAGACCTCTAAAAAGTGACAAAATAAAGGGTCTTGGCTGAGCACTGTTAAAGAACTATCTTATTTTAACCAACATTATTTGCAAGCATTTCATAAGAAAGCCCTGTTTTAGGAAGTTCAATCGTACTCACTGTTCATCTTAGTTATTAAATGGTGGGATGGTATGGCTTTAAAAATAATTTTCATGGGGTGTCCAACCCAAACTCAAATTTAAGACAAATCAGTCTTCCTAACAGATTATTATCTTTAAGTTGCTACAAAAATTTGATAGCTACCACCAACTTCGAGTTACTTTAAAAAACCTATCTCTTTTCATAGCCAAATATGAAATCAAATACTTAGCTGATTTTCTTTTGTTAAAAACTAATACTGAGACGCATTCCCCAATAACCTACCATTAGGCAATGAAGCTCTTTCTACCATTTATATAAATTTTTTAGCTCAGGTGCCACTGGACCTATATCAACATCCCTCCTAACAGGAAGTATTTTTGCTAAAAGATTTCAGTGGTTTCAAAAAATATTTTTCATAAAAGTAGAGATGACAGAGATATAAATATAAAAGCATTCCAGAACAAAGAGAATTTATGTGTATCAAATAAAATTTCCATTTACTTTTTACAAGATTGCCACAGACACATGAAGTTGTGTCCAGGTTTTCTCACTGGATCCCCTTGTTGACTAGATGCACTGAATGGAGAAGGCTGGGAAGTGTTAGGCTGGCTCTGTACTTGCACAGCTGGTGAAGGCGTCATAGGAGTGTTCTGTGAAAAAACACAACCACGCAGTTTGTGAGATGACACTGAAAGACATTCATATTTTATAGTATAGGCATAAATGATAATGACAATTATGATTACATTGCTAGTTATGCACTTCTAACATAGAATTTACATTTGTAGTTAGTAATTATTTCTTAAAAATTCTTTAAAAAAGATAATTATTTTTATAAAAATAATTAGGAAAGATTCTTTTATTTCATATGAACCATAAAGGCAAGATCACATTGTTAATGTTACAGGACATAAATTATTTAGAATTAAGAAATTTTAGATCAATAAATTAGGCAGAAACAAAACTATAGATTAAAATGAGGAATAAATCTACTATAAATGCACTCACTGATTTACTTACATACATTCTGCACAAGAACGAATCAACTGCAAATTAATCTTTCTTTGCATATATTTCCTTTCAGATTTTTTAATGACTACACCATAAAACAATCATAGCAAAACACAAAGAAAATTTCTGATGTTAAAAATGAAGTAACCATAAATAGAATGTTATAAATATTATTTTATAGTAAGCCATTTTAACAACTTTAGTCTTTAAAGTTGTTCAGTTTCAGCTTTTGATGGACAATACAAGTAAAAGAATTCTAATTCCAATTCTAATTCAGAAGTCTTTTAAATATAAGCTATATTTTCTTCTTCTGTAGCCTATCCCTTTCTCTCTGAAAAATACATAATTATAATATGGCTTAAAACAATTTGAGGCAAAATATTTTCTTTGAACCTTAACTCAGATTTTATTCATAACATATCACAAAGGGAAAAATAATAATGAATTTCTCATATAGAAATGGTAGCACACCATTTTCAAAGCATTGTTTAATGGCAATAAATTTAAACTCTGGAAAAATATTAAATATACTCATTCACTTATAAGGTAATATTGGAAATAGCTGGGCAAAACCAGTTAAAAATTTCTGCATACATCAGATTAAAATCCATAATAATTAGAAAAAAGACAGTAAGCTATAATAAGGCTAGAGCATAAAAATGAAAAAAGAGAATAAAATGCTGAAAAAAAGTTTAGAAATGTGAAGTCCTAGGACTCTTTGAGTTCCAAGCTCTAAGAAAAAGAAAATCTACTTTTGGGATATGATTGAAGTTGTTTCCATAATAGGATCTGGCCCCACACTTAAGATTTTATAATATGGTCAGTAAGAAAACATATACATGCATATGCATGCATGAAAAACAGGTGCCATGGATAGGGTGTGGACTTTTTAGCTTGACACATCAGTACTCAAACTTTCAATTTGCCTTTTAAACTAGTTATGTGACTCAGGGCAATCTCTTTAACCTTTGTGATCCTCAGTTTCCTCATCTATAAACTATTAAGTAATGAAATCTTAACATAAGGGATTGTTTGAAGACTAGAGAAACTACAGATGAAGAGCCTAGTTCTAGATTCTCAACAAATGGCAATATATATGCTAGAAGTCCAAATAGATAAGGGACACTAAACTTTGGAGGAAAGATAATGAATGAGTCTGCTTTGGGGACAGTGGCAGATCAACTACAAATGTCTATTAATAGACGTTAATGCTGGAAACACGGATCTCACAATCATTCTCCTGGGAATTCTTAAAGCCATAAAAACTGATGCTGAGAAAGCAGACAAAAGAAAAAAAAAAGGATCAGAGACAAAGGAATGGAAGGTAACATTAGAATTAGCCTATTTATCAAAAGAATTACTCAAATTGTTTCCCTGAAATGAAAATATTGCAATAAAAATCCAAGAAATTCTAATAAGGGGAGTAACCAAGAGAATCAGTTTCAGCCAAATACAAATATTAGAGAGTAACAAGTTACAAATATCCCAGAATTTTAATTAAAGGGTAAATTTGCCAGAAGCATCAAATTCCCTCAGAATGAAGCTTCTGGTTCCCTTTTCTATTACCACTTAAATTAGGTATTTTATTGAATATCTTGTTATATATTTGTAGATTAAGCTTATTTTTATTTTCAAACGTGCTAACAAATCTTTAACCTATTTTTTTTTCATTGAGGAACTCTTATTTGGTGTTGCATAGAAAATTTAACAAATAATCACAAGGTATTTTGACCCCAAATGTGAGTGAGGGATATGGCAAGGATGACTGAAATTAATCTAAGCTGTTAAATTAATAACGAATAAAAACACATTAACCAAATGCAACGTGTAAAAACTTGTGGATCTTAATTCAAATGAGCTGTTTTAAAAAACCAAACCCATGTTGTTTTTAAAAGACAACTAGAGAACAATGAACTGGGTGTGAGATAATATTAAACACACTATTATTTCTGCTAGATGTGATTTGATACTGGAGAGAGAGAGAGCGAGATCTAAATAGTTAAAAGTACTTAACTATTAGAGAAATAGATTCTGATTTACTGGCAAAATGAAATAATGTTTGATACTTGTTTTAAGGTACTCCAAGAAAAAAAAATGATTGTGAACAGATGAAACTAAAAAGGCAAATGGTAATAATATTTAATAATATTTAAAGCTAGGTGATAGACACATGAAGACTTCTTGGCTCTACTTTTGTATATGTTGGGAAAAATTTTACAATAAAAAATAAACAAGTGACAAAGTGATAAAAAGAATTAAATAGATCTAAATGTATCACTGAAACAAAAAGAATTAAAGTACTTTAAAAAAATTTTTTTTTATTTATTTGAGATAGAGAATAGCAAGAGAGAGCACGAACAGAGGGTGGGGAGAGGGAGAAACAGGTTTCTCACTGAGCAGGGAGCCCATAGTGGGGCTTGATCCCAGAACCCTGGGGATCATGACCTGAGCCAAAGGCAGACACTTAACCAACTCAGCCACCCAGGCACCCCAAGAATTAAAGTACTTATAAAATATACCAAATGAGAAATTCTAAGACTCATATTTCCTTTGACCATAGGATTGAATATTTTTAGGTTTCCTCTTGTTATTAAAAAAATTACACATTCCTGAGGTGCCTGTGTGGCTCAGTTAGTTAATCATCCTACTCTTGATTCTGGCTCAAGTCATGATCTCAGGGTCATGAGATCCAACCCAGCGATGGGCTCTGCACTCTGCACTCAGCACAGAGTCTGCTTAAAAGATCCACTCTCCCTCTCCCTTTGCCCCTCCCCCAATAAACAAACAAACAAATATCCATTAATTAATAAAAAGAATTAGGTCTTTTACATGATAGTGCAAAATATATTTCTTTTAGGCTATATGTTTACTTTTTCTTAACCTTACTATTTTTTTAAAAATTTATTTGATACAGAGAGAGTGAGTGTACAAGTAGGGGGAGTAGCAGGCAGAGGGGGAGGGAGAAGCAGACTCCCCGCCGAGCAGGGAGCCTGATGCAGGGCTCGATCCCAGGACCCTGAGATCATGACCTGAGCCGAAGGCAGAGACTAAACCCACTGAGCCACCCAGGCTGTTTTTTTACCATAAATTGCTAGATCATCAGCCATAACCCTAACTCAAGTGTAAATGTAAAAGTAGGTTTCAAAGTCATAGTTTTTGGAATGATCCCTCTTGAGGAATATTCTCTATCATCTACTCTATTGAGGAAGAGCTTTTTTTTTATATTACAGGTTTTGGGTCCCCCTCCCAAATCAAAGCCACAAATCCAGCAGTGAGTGACCAAAAAAGTAAAATTACACAAAGGATGCAAAACAACTATGTGATTTATTCTGCAATGTAAAACTAACTGAAAAAGTTAATGCAGCAGGTTTATTATTGCCTTGCTTTCTTCTATTATCTTTTCAAGATGATGCTTTCCTCGATCATATCTTCAAGAGTAAATTATGGCTAAAAATTCTAGATCAGTGATAATATTTAAGATTTATTTACTTGAGAGAGAGAGAGAGAGAGAAACCACATAAGCAGGGGCAGGGACAGAAGGAAAGAGAAAGAATCCTCAAGCAGACTCTTCCCTGAGCACAGAGCCCGAGCTGAAATCAAGAGTTGGATGTTTAACTGACTGAACCACCCAGGTGCCCCTAGAGTGATAACATTTTCTGATATAAGACTTGGGATTTGAGGCTCTTAAACCCTTATGTTCTTAGTAATAAACTTTAAAAACCTTAGAAAGATAAAATTTAAACACTTCAATCTGTGTTAGAAAGATACAAATTCATAATCTATTCTCAAAATAAATTCTTTGCTAGGTAGTAATGAAACAGTTTGTTCAATTCTAGCTACAGATTTTGAAAGCCACTTATAAAATAGAACTGACTTAAGATAAATAGGATGACAAATAAACCAGACACCCTGACACCTCGGATCTACTTGAAGGAACTGAGAAAGTATATTCTAAAACACAGGCGAGGAAGGAGAGATACTCTGAAGCAGTTATGAGAAACAAAAATTAGATTTACTCTGTGAAATAAAAGTATTTATACTTAGTCTAAATGTATAGATCTTTTGAGAACAGAATTAAGACAATTACAGGAATCACTGGAAAAGAGATCTTTTGAGTGTGGGAAAGTAACTTCAATTTTTAAAAATAAGGGTTTGGGACAAGATAATATCTAAGATTCTTTCTGCTCTTACATTCCCTCATGTTTTTAAACTACCAAGTTTTTTACTCTTAGGAAGTATATAACCTAGATAATCAATACATACCAAGACTGGCTTATAAGGATACACTAAAATGCAAAAACAATCATTATGTTTAGTGGTAATGCCTTTCTCGGTTTTTATGATGTATTACAATGTGCTACTACTCCACAAATTTAAGCAGTAGTACTCTTAAGAAAATACTGAAATGATAATTCCTGGGGTTCTTGCTAAAACGATCTTGGCTATGACTAAATGCTGCCCCCTTGAGGCTACAGATCTGCATTCTGATGGGTTGAATAACTTCAAGCTCTTTATCAAAGAAAGGAAGGGACCAGGAAGATACCAAAATTCAGTGTGACACAGAACCAAATTAGCAATGGTTCAACGGAACTGAGGAAAAGCACATATAAAACACCTTAAATAAATACATCCTTAAGTAAACTACTTTTATATACAAGAATTTAGCATATCTTCAGATCATGGGATTAACGCCTTTTGTTCTGTTCAACATGTGTTTTACATGCTCCTGAAAAAGGCAAATCTTTAGGTAAATATTTATAATTACTTTTCTTTTATTATTCATTTTTATTGTATGTGCCAAACTAGTTTTATGCCTTCAGAAGATACCAATTCATGAATAGTTATCCTATAACTTACAAATACAACAGACTAAAATAAACAGCTACAAATAAAGAAGTTTACCTTGAAATAGGTAAAATTTATTTTGTATTTATATGAATTACGCAGCTAAATACTATTTAAACACAAAATCTGAAGTTATCTCATTTACTTTCAGAGATCTTTCTCCTTTTCTGCTGCTAATTTTTTTTCTGTAATGAAATTAATATAGCTGATTAATCAGAGTGAAAGGGAACACAACTGAGAAAAGAAACATGAAAGAACAATGGTAGTAGGAAGGATTACCTGTTGGCTATTCTCAGCAGGGACTTCTCCCTGCGGTCTTTCTAGCCCTGAACATTCTGCAAATCTAAAAGTCCCTCCTTGGGTTCCAGGTACCTCCTTAACATCCCCAGACCCCTTGAAATGGTAGAAATAACAAGGTTTTGCTGAAAAATCACATTTAAAATCCTCTATTTCATCTACTCCTTGAAGGTACCAATTCAAATAGTGAATAAAATGTGTTAAATCAAGGTCCATATAAAAGAAATCTGAAGAATCTAGGCAACAATGGAAATGGTTTTCTATTAGTAGGCTCTTAAGAAGACCAACAGCTGACCCTTCAAAGGAAATTTATGATCCCATCTTAAACAGTTGATCTTTTTTAGCCTTTATAGGTACTTTATTCCCTATATACGAAGGTAAAATACAGCTGTACTATTACTGAGTGCCTAACTATGTAGCAGTCACCATGTTAAGTGTTACATGTAAGAATCCCAGTTTTTAATTCTCACTCTCACAGACACCATGCATGCTATCTTTTTCCTTGCAAAATTTTAAATTTCTACCTGCCAACCAAACACTAATTTTAAAAATAAAGAATGTGGCCATTTTAAATAAACTATACTCTTTGGGACAATATATATTAAAGAACACATTTTAAAAAGTAATTTTTTAAATTTTAATACATTTAATAAAATAAATAATAATATGTAAATAAAATACAGTAATTTTATGGATTGAATTAGATACATATATGTCCAATATGTAAAGAAAAAAGTTTTAGGATTAATGTCCTAAAATTATAATTTAATGCTACTCACATTCTGTAATATGATAGTTCAAATACTCAATATATTATATATAAAATGGCTTTCTAGAACTTTTCAACAAAATCTTTTAAAATAGTGGAGAAGTGGGTTAAGAGTATGAATCTCTGTTTCAGACACACACCCAAGTGGTTCAGTCCTGGAACCACGTCACATTAGTTGGTGACCTTGGGTGAATTATTTTGCAGCTTGGAGCCTCATCTCTATTGTAATAATAATTCTTACCTCACAGAGTTATTCCAAGGATTAAATGAGAAAATGCTTTCAGTAACAAGTTCTTAACATAGGTCCTAGTCTTAACAAGTATTATTGTTGGTTCTTTGTTACTTAAGTATCTTTATTGAATATAATCATACTGGGAAGATTAAGGACACACACAAAAATGAGGGTTGATAATTCCACAGTAATGGAGTTTTTCTCTCATTTGGCTTAGTCTATTATAACTATTTAGAAATTATAACTATTATAAGACAATCTGAGAGGAAAAGACAGAGTAAGGAACTAATCAAGATGAATTGGGAAATTATAAATGAAGGGAAAAAATATAAAAATCAACTTACTGTATGCCAGACACCATATTACTTTAAAATTTTTTTACTGTGTTTAATAAATGAAAAAAAACTCAACTTACAGCAGTCTGAGGAAAATTGCTTTAGTATTTTTTGCTAAAACTCAGTAATAATAATTGCCATGTACACATCAACTAAAGAATACTCAACCCACTTAGGTACCTTGCAATAAAAATAAATCTAAGCAATACAGTACTAATGTATGAATTAAAATCTCATTATGTCCCCAACAGCACCATCCAGTTTTATCCACTCACATGAAAAAAGATGCACATCAGTGGATGAACTGTTCTGAAGCAAGGGATTCTTTGTTTTTTCATCTTTCATTCTGCTGCCCCCCTCAACCCCCACATTTGGTACTAATGCCAGCAATGGCCATAGATCTGCTCTAAACACCAAAAGCGTGGAGAAGAAACCAAAGTCAGAAGAGTGCTAGCAGAGTTGGCAATAGTTACAGAAGGTTCTGGCTACGTAGGGGTTAGGAAAGAGAAAGAAAAAAAAAGTCATCCAGAAAATAAGGTTAAAACTAGTAAACCCCTAGTTTCAGTGGAAACGGCACACAAGATTGACCTTCAAATCTTTACAGGTAGAATGAATCCTCAATTCAGTAGCACTAATCCTAGAAAACACTTCTATTGACTACAGGGTACAACAGAGATTGGATAGTAGAATATTAAAGAGGGGATAACAGAAACCTGACTGGAGGGCAAAGCAGTAAAGAAACACAAAAGCAAGAATATCAGAATAGCTGAAAGAAATTGAAATGATAATAGTCTTTCAAGAACCAAGGCAACTAAGTCAATATATAAGTATAACAGGAAAACACCTGATAAAGGACTTATGGGATTCATCTTTTTTATAAAAGGATGGTGAAAAGAGCCACAAAAACATACTCCTGTCAAAATCAAATACAGAATCTCCCTTTTGAAGTGCTCTTAGTATATCCCCCTCCACCCAAAGGTGACCAAGGAGACTGACTTATATTTAAAAAATTCTCCAAGAGATGTCAGATTAGCAAGTGTCCCTCTATCTTGGGTCTACAAAATTACTAATTTGGGTCGATAACGGAATTTTAAAGATTCTTTAAACCATGTGCTGAAGTTAACAATTGAGAACTGTTTAATATTACAAAAAAACACTGAAAAACAGGAGCCGGAGAGCCCGAGTACACTGGTGAGCTGACACAATTACCTTTACAAGATGAGGTGTTGAACAACAGTGGACAGTCCCCTATAATCCTATTTACAAGTGAGAACTCTTTAAGAGAAATGTTGAGAGCAGGGTGACTTACCTGTGGGACCACATTCTGTACGTATGGCGGCGGGTGCTGCTGCTTTTGCTGAACAGCACTTTCTATTGCTACTTTAGCTACAGTGCTTGGATCTGCTCCCGCCGGCACAGCAACCATTGTTGCACTGCAGCCAGCATTGTTGGGGTCACTGATTGTAACAATTCTAACTCCTACTTTATTTGGAATTCCTGCGACTGTTTCCCTATCATTATCCTCTGCCGGCCTCTTTACAGTTTTGCATTCTGCTGTGCCGTTTGTAGACCGAACGTCAGATGATAGGGCAGGAGAATGGGACACTCTTGATCCTGAGTGGGGAACTGCTATGATTTGATGCCCCTGTATAACAGAGGTTGTAGAATGCGGTGAGACAACTACACTTGGGCGTTGCTGAGGCACATCTGAATTCAAACTTGAAGCTAGAGGTCCATTAGGCAAGTCAGTACCACTAAACTGCTGTGTTGCCACATTTGGAGCCTCCTGTATACTGCTCACAGATGGTGAACCACCCAAAGTTAATATAGGTCCATTCGAAATTCTTTCTAGTTGATCACCTTTGGCAGTATCTTGCTGAGTGGCATCTAAAGTCCCTTGTGGTTCCACTGGAGATATCTCACCATTTCCTACATGATTGGAAGTTTTGTGATTTGGAATGTTTTTGCTTAAATGAGAACCATCTCCCTTATCAAAATCACAGATTCCATTAACTAGAGGTTTTTTCAAATCACTTTTGATATCCGGCATATCCATTTGTTCTGAGTTCTGTTTTCCAGATGTTCCATTCTCACCTAATTCTAATGATGGCCCATTACTGATTAGTGAGCACTGATTAGCCTCACTTTGAATTTTCCCTGAGTTTGAAGGAGGTAGACTTGAGTCACTGTACTTTCTCCCGTTTAAAAGACTTCCCACCTGCATTTCATTTTCCTTTGTATCCCCATTGCTGGTGTTCGTGGTTCCTCGTCGGCAGGACGGGTTCTCCATGACTTCAATTTTACGTTCATGAACATGTAAACCTGTTGCTTCTTTTGCTTCCTCCTCCTTTTGGCAAATGATCTTATCACCTTTGAATGGGGGAGTAGCAGTAGTACAGGATGATTGTCCAGCTGGAGATGTCTGAGTGGCTGGAAGTGTTTGCACCTGAAGTCCAACTCCTGTTTGCGTCCCACTCATGGTAATTCCTGCTGGAGCAATGAGCTGAGTTGCATTTCCCTGACTCACAGTTGCAGTTGCAAAACTTGTATTTGGCACAACTGTTATGGTTACCTGGTTGCCAGAAGTCCCTTGGAAAATGGTTGCTGGGCTGTTCGAAATCAGTGGGCCTGGCAATATTTGTAAGTTCGAGATGGGCACAGTTTGCACTCCCCCTGTGGGTGGCATTGCACTTTGGACCAACTGAACGTTTTGCTGCCCAACCAACAGCTGCTGAGCTGAAGATTGCCCCTGCACTCCAAAACCTGCTGCTTGGTTATTGGCCACCTGGTATACCACCTGAGGGCTAGGAGCTCTTGCATTATTAGGGGGAGGAATCTGTGGAGCTGGGAGAATTAGCTTACCACCCGGCGTCGAAGGACCACGCTTTGGAAGCAGCAGCTGTTTTATCAGACTTGACTCACCAGAAGCAGGCTGACCAACGCCCGCATTTGCCTGCTGTGGCTGAACTTGCATCTGTACTTGTTGGGGCTGCTGAACCTGTACTTGTACCTGTTGTGGTGAGGGTGCTGGTGAATGCTGCTGCTGTTGCTGCCTTTTCACAGATAGCATCTGACTGACAGTAGGAGGTGGTCCCTGTGATTGAGGGGTGGAAGAAGATGACATGGCAGTAGGGACTTGGTTATTAGTAGCTGGGACAGGTGATGGCGAGGAAGATGGAGTTATGTTTGGTTGCCCAGTTAGCTGAACTGTCTGACCAGCTGGAAGAGCTGCTGGATTAGCAAGAACAATTTGGTGAATGGCTGGTGCGTAAGTCTGACCTTGTTGAGCTGGCTGGCTTACAATCACTACACTTTGTTGGGCTGGCTGCTGTGGTTGTTGAATGGGCTGTTGTACCACCGTTGATGAAACTTGCTGAGAAGGGAGAGGTTTTGGTGCAATGTTCTGAAACCCTACCCTTGAGGGTTGTGGACTTGGGACACCAGCAATGGTAACCATTTGTCCTGTAGCTACCTGAAAATTCTGTACTGAAGTTGCTGAGACAATATTGGATGCGGAAGTTGTCACATACGGTGAAGGTGCTATGATAACAGTGTCTTGCGGCTGGCTACCAGCAGATGTCTGTTGAGATGAAGTTTGCACAGGCTGGGGTGATGTGGTGATTAACTGTTGACCCTGTGAAACTGTAGAAGTACATGCTGGTATGTTCTGTACTCTGCCAAATATATGACTCTGTGGGACAGCTTGCTGAATTACTGTCACGGGAGTGCCGGAAGGTATCTGTCCCGGTACCACTGTGTGTAATGGAGACTGTTGTGGAATTACGGATGGATGATGAAGCAATGTCTGGGAATTTACAACTGTAACAGGCTGTGGCCCTGTACTGTGATTCTGAACCACAGAACTCTGAGCAGCTCCTCCTCCCACAGCAATGCTAACAGGAACTGCTGTCTGGGATATAGAATTCTGGATTACTGTAGCCTTAACGACCTCACAAGGAATTGGAGCTTTGTTTTGAATGACAGTCACTGGAGCATTTTGCTGCTGGTGGGTATGAACTGCAGGATTTGGTGGAATTCTTGAAACAGTCTGTGCCACAGTATGAACACCTTGTACTGGAAAAGACATTTGTGTTGCAGTCAAATTTGAAGATTGGCTGGTAACAGAAGTCCTCTGAAAATGGTTTCCTACAGTTTGTGGTCCATGAGGAATTCCTGAAAAAAGGAGGGAAAAAGTCAAAATTCATAATGAAATGACGGAGAACTGCATATAGGCATTGTATTAGTTAATACAAGAAAAAATTACTTTAAGAAATTAACATCTAACAACTTTGCATCATATTAAATACGGTAAAAGTAACAGAATAAGCAAAATATGCTACTGGAAACACAAGGGAAAATTATACATTTCAAATTTATAAAAGATACAGTTTCATTTTGCTTTTTTGTTAAATTAGATATACTTAAAACTCAAAAATTAATACCTGCAGGTGAAGGACTTGGAGATATATCAGGAACAGAATCAACACGAACAACAGGAGTAGAAACTGGTTGCTGCTGATAGTACATCTGAATGGGAAGTGGTATAGCCCTCCGTTTTACTCCCACTACATGAATATGTGCCTGCCCGTTGCTACTGGAATCCTCCACTCTCTTCACTGTATGATTTGGAAAGACCGTTCTGTAAAGTACACACACACTTAGTTTTCTTAACTAGCACGCAAGCAAAAAACAGACTTCTAACAACGTTTACATGAACAGCAGTAGTATATTTACTACTACAAATGTACGAACCAGTATGATTCATACAGTTCTATTCTGCAAAGGTGGGAAGCAAAGAAAAAATATAAAACATCAGTTCTCCAATTTTAAAAATCATTATTCATTAACATTGTTAGATTTTAAGTAAGTTTATACCCTATATAATTAACAAAAAAGCTGCATCTAGGTAGTGTCTATTTTATGAACTTTGCATAATACCAAAAGCCTCGATATTTTAAGAGCATTAGACTATTATTCAAGATTTAAAAGGACAAAGGTCATGTCTTTAACACAATAAAGTGGGTAGAAAAAAGTTTCTCCCTTCTCTTTCTTTGATAAGCCTCATAATGTTCAAACACAAATACCAGGTTAGATTTCCAAAATCTTCTTGTATTTGAATTTCTATCTCACAACAACCTAGCCAAGATGAAACTTCAAGTAGTAGAAATATTTCAAATTAGACAGATGGTTGGTATTTTCTCTAAAGAGCAAGAGATGTTCTACGTGATATGGATTAACTTTGTTTAAAGTTAACTACTATGCATCCTACCTAAGACATTTATAAAATCCAGTTGAAGTTAGGATTCCACCACGAGCTAATTTACTGCATGTTGAGAGGTACTCAGAATACATTTCTGCTCGAGAGACAGAACAATCTGGATTTACTTCAAAATGAGCATTTAGCCTAAAAAAGAGAAAAATAAATGGCATTATGCAGTATATTATAGGAGAGTTGATGCTAAATATAGTAAAACCATTTGAAGGCAATGTATTATAAAATAATATTTATGCCTGTTTATCAAATGTCACTATCATGTTATTAGCAAAAATGCATGCTAGGTTTTAGACTGATGAAACTAAACAAAAGGAGATTGACCACTTAATCACATTTATTTTAGTATTAAAAAAATCATTAACAACAAATATAAAAACTATGTTCACACCCCAGTGAGAACTGGGTTGGTCTGTTGGCAACAAATATTCTACAACAAATAAGTTTCATTCAATCAATATCTACTAAATTTCCTGTCTTGCAAAAATTAAAACATAACAGAAATTCCCAATAATGAACTATTTCCATTGGAGACGTGGAAAATGGAAACTGAACTAAATTTAAACTTTTGTTGTCTCTTTGAGCAAATCCCTTTAGAAAAAAAACTTACCTAAGCTTTCAACTACTCTTTAAGACAATCATACTTCTCCCACGCCTCACACTTTCATTCCCCCATTTCAGAAATTTCTATTCATAATGCAGTACAAATTAATTCAAACTTCAGTTTGTCTTTTTCATATAGTGACTTCCATCTATTTATCAGTTAGGACTGGAGGCTGAATTATCATCATAGGATTCTTTTCTAAGACTTACTATACATATAACAGGCCAACTTATAGCTGTTTACATAAACTGAATCAAATAATACTTATGATTATTTAATTTTAAAATGATTCTCTCCCTCCTCACTAGAAATACCAGAAATGTACAAATGGGCTTTAGAAGACCAAATCCATACCTAACACACACACAAATTTTACTGTGCATGTGGTACATACTTTTTCCAACTTTCATAATTCTTTGAGTACTGAGTTTTCAAAAGCCTTAGATACAAAAAAGTTTTTTTGGTTTTAATGTAGAAGATAGACATTTCCAAGTATTACTAGAAGTGATTCATTAAGTATAAGGTGTAAAAATATATAAGGTGAGGAAAAAGAAAATAATTAGAGATATTTAAAACCATAAACCCGATTTTAAGCAAAGTGGAAAAGTCTAGAGAAAACTGCCACAGGAACAAAGATATGAAAGTACCAAAAATATGGAACACAGAATGACAGGAACATGGAATGGGAGACAAATCATGTTAGAGAATGGGAGAAAAGGGATCAGAGAAAGAAAATTTTTAAAGTAATACATCATCAGAAAGTGATCTTTTCTATTCAATCTATTATTAATCTTCTAAAGAATTTAAGTTGGAATTTATAACTCTGTGGAAGCTACCATCCACGAGAAAATGAAATCTAACCAAGTCTACAGTTTATTTTTTTCAGGAAGTGGCTGATATGTAACTAGTCAGTCTTCTCAATAAAATATTTTCAAGTTGCTTATTTCCACTTAAACCCACTAGCTGTTGTACCATTTGGCTCATTTCCCCCTACTACTCTGAAAAAAGAAAAATTAACTATCAATGAACAAGAAGTATTGCTTGTGATGAAAAAGAAGAGACATTTAACAACAAAATCTGTTTTATTTTTTAAAAGACAGTCCAGTTCAGTTTTAATAAAATATTAATTTAAGAAATAAAAATCCTGTAATCTGACAAATCCTATTTTCTGCAAAGTCAAAGATGATGTTTTAACACAAATTTTACTCTGAAAAGAAGTTAAATGGTGTAATTTAATTCTGGAGATTCTGATGAACATTTTTCTTTTAAATTATTCTAAAATGCAGGGGAAATGATTTTACATTGTCCATTCTCTGTATAAATGATATTCTACTCTGACTAAAAAGAAATACAGAATAAAACATTCTGGATGACTGTTGAAATACATTTCCTTTTCTCTTTTGCTTTGTTCTTCCCAAGGATAAAGCCTTAATAGAAATAAACCACTTACCACTGACAAGCAAACTTCTCACTATCTATTTCCACTATTCCTGGAGGTGGAGCAACATGCTGTGCTACAACTGCTCTGGAAGCTAAAGAAAAAAATACATTAGCTACATCATTTGTACACACTTAGTCACTATATGCCATTTTAGTTCATGGACACTGAAACAATTAATATTCACAAAGACTACCTTTCAAAAAGGGGTATAAACATAATGAAAATACACAAATTTGAGAAAGAAACTTATAATGGAGCACATATCATACCAGGCACTGTCTTTGATGCTTTATATAAACTCTTTACTATCACTCAATAGTAACAATAATATGGATTATACAGCTAATATAAACTCTTTTTCCCATGGGTCAGACACGGAGTTAAATACTTTATTTATATTAATTCTTCTGTGAGATGGGTACAAATAAGGAAACTGAGACACAAAGTGATTAAAAAAACCAGCCCAAGGTCACACAGCTCAACGCATCAGTAAATAAGAATCAGTTCAGTTATAGAAGACAGTATCAGAAATAATCACTTCACTTCTGAATTTAAAAGATTAATATTAACTCTGCAAGTGGCATATATATAACACTTCTGGGAAAAGGTGAACAAAAAGTATGAACTAATTTAAAGTCCTACATTCAAGAAAGAATTTTCATAAGATTATTCTTCTGGGGGAAAAAAATCTGTTGTAATAATAGTTTTCCAATACACCTTTTGTCCTGAGAGAGGCAAGATGGCTGGGTAAAAATGTACTAGTTATTAATCTTAAAGCACATACCAATTTCTGAGATTTTACTTATGACATATTTTAAAACAATTCAAGTCCGATGAATAAGTTAGATCATCTATTATTTTCTAACAAGTAGATCAGATATGTAGAAAAATGTTTTCTTTTCTGCTGTATATAAAAGAACTAATGAAAACAAAAATATGATAATATACTTAGCCATATTATGATGATTTAAATATGAACCTTACATATTTTTAAAATTAAAAATTATACTGCTTCATCAGCATTATTTTAGTTTTTAAACTTATAAAATGTACCCACTATTTTTCAAATAACATTTTAGCAAATCTCAGAATCCTCAAACAGAACAAATGTATTTCTAAAATTACTAGAACCCAAGGAGCTCCACAGCACAGTCAAATCTGTTAATGATCAAAAGCCATCCTGACTAATGTTTGATGAAACCCCAAGTTTTCACTGGGATAAAAGCTAATAACAGTCACTTATTGAACATTTATGCTGTATTAAGCTATTTACACTTATAAAACATTGTTTGTTTTAATCTTATTTATAGGCCTAAATTTAATTATCCCCATTTTGCTAAGGAAAAAAATAAAGCTCAGAGATTAAGTTTACAAAGCTACCCATGATGGAAATGGCAGAGCTGTGTACAGCTGGGTACTGGATTTGAATCCAGGTCTGTCATATTTCAGATACCATACTATGACATTTCTTTTTTTTCTTTTTTTAATTTATCTATTTGACACAGAGAGAGAGATCATAAGTAGACAGAGAGGCAGGCAGAGAGAGGAAGGGAAGCAGGCTCCCTGCTGAGCAGAGAGCCCGATACAGGGCTCGATCCCAGAACCCTGGGATCATGACCTGAGCCGAAGGCAGAGGCTTTAACCCACTGAGCCACCCAGGTGCCCCCATACTATGACATTTCTTAACAGAACAAAATAATTACAATCAAAACTATTTTCCTGGTGCAACCCCAGCTTATCTTTTCTTCTCCTAACTTGGTAACGCCATTACAGAAAATATCCGAGCAGGGCCTTAACCCACTTGGAAATCTTCCTCCTTTTTCTTCATCAATTGTACTACGAGAGAATATAATCTATTCGGACTGAAATCTCCTGAATCAATTAATGACCAGTGGAGCGAAATCTCAGTAATTATGTTGAAATTATAAAAATTTTATGAATAATGTATAAAGAAGAATAAAGCGGCCACAATTAAATTAAGACGATAAACTGGAAACACAGAATTACTATAAAAGTGGCTACAAACTGAGAAGCACTGCCCTTGGGAAAGATACCTAAAGACTCATTCCAAGTGATTCAAAGGTACTTATACTTTAAAAGGAAATCAATTTCCAGGGGCACCTGGGTGGCTCAGTAGGTTGAGTATCTGACTTTTGATTTTGGGTCAGGTCATGATTTTCAGCGTCATGAGATTGTGGGATGAGCCCTGAGATTGAGTCCTGAGATAGGCTCAGCACTCAGTGGGGAGTTTGCTTGAGATTCTTTCTCTCCCTCTGCCTCTGTCCCTCCCCAACTCTCTCTCTCAAAATAAATAAATAAAAATCTTTAAAGGAATCACTTCCCAGATGCTCAACTTCTGTATATACTCCTTTCTAAAACTGCTCTTCTCCCATTTTGGAACAGAAAGTCTTAACTTTCATCCATCCTTTATAGCAACGCAGGTATGGTTAAATGCATGGCTCTCAAGTCGGAGTGGCTGGTTCTAGATAGAGTCCCAGCACTTACTAGCTGTGTAACCATGGGCAAGTTAATTAACCTGTCTATAAAATGGGGAAAAGTAAAGTACACTGACCTCCTAGGTCATTATGAGGATTAGAGGAGTTTACATATAAGCCACTTAAAACAATGCCTGGCACATAGTTACCACTATATAACTGTCAGCATGATGATGATAATGATGATGATGATGATGATGATGACAATGACGATGATGGCGAGAGGTAAAAAAACCTCTAGGACACCAAAGGGAGAATTAGAATCATTAGAATCCACAAAGCTTCATTTACCCAAGGTATTATGGTAGGGGTTCCTATCTATATTTTATGATGTTTTATATATTATAGTTAAGGGCAATGTTGGGCATGAGATAAGGAGTATTCTGGCCCTTTGGTATATTCTGAATTCAGATATAAAGTGATGACAATTTTTGCTTAATGTCCTTTCTTCCTCTATTTTCTAACTACTGTCAAAAAAAGATGTTACTTTTGAGTCAGAATCTTGTATAAGTAAAGCACAGAAAGTTTTTTAAAGAAATACTGAAGGTGGTGGCATCTTATTTCATTCAGATGACATGATCATGGCTCGTTTAACTGTCTTAGAATTCTGAAGTAAGGAAGGTGTCATGGGAACACCTATTAACCATACTTTTTCGGAATGAAAAATAAAGTTGGACCTTTTTTAATTAATGAAAAGTGAGACTGATTAAAGCAAAATACTTCTGATAATGAAGACTAACTTTACCAGTTAGGTTATATGGGAGACATTTTCTGTAGCTGAATGGAAGAAATCTGCAGTTCTAAGGTTTTTACAAAAAAGTACTCAAAGCACATGATTAAAGTACCTTATCAAAAACTGTAATGGTCTTGAATATTTCAATTTTCCTAATCCAGTGGTCCTCAAAGTATAGTCCCCTGACCTGCAGCATCAGCATCTCACGGGAACTTGTTTAGAAATTAAAATTCTCTGGTCCACCTGAATCAGAAATTCAGGGTATAGAGCCTAGAAATCAGTGTGTGAGCCCACCAACCAATTCTGAGGCACCCTTAAGTTTGAGAACTGCTGTGTTAATATTTCTTGACTATATCAGGTTAAACAAGGTGCATCTAAGCAAAAGTCAGCAGGTATATTTTACAGTCATATCTTATTAATTATCTTTTTGACATATTTCCAATAAAACTTAAAAGTAAATGTAATGACTAGGCAACATATTCTTTTATGAGTCATATGTTAATTCTTTGATTTCAACATATCAAAGAACTCAAGTTGACAGAAGATCATTAAATATAATTTTAAGAATTTTGGATAATTCTGAAGTTCAAAGAACTGTAAATTCTATACTTAGCTATTTATTGCTGTGAACTAGATTTTCAAATTAAATCTATAAAAAGGAAAAATGGAGGTAGAATTGATGTTGAACCCAGTTTCACTCTAGCAATTAAAAAAACATTCATTTTGGGATACACTGGAGTAACACTTTCCAGAGAACCACCTCATTAAGAGATGAACTTCCAATAGCTACTTTGTCATGTACTGTTGTTTCATGTATTGCTTATTTCTAAAACTTATAATGATAAAATTTTAAATAAAATTTTATAGAGTAACACGAAACTGAAAAAGTTAAATTAAAATTGTCTACATTTATAGGTGATAAGTACGGATAGAGTGGTGGATATGAGTTCAAGAAGAAAGAAGGTACCATAAAATTTGATATTAAGTGTCTGTGTATTTAAAATGGATGATGGCAAATATCAAGATTCCACCGGATACAAAAAGTACTTTTTATTTTAAAATGTCAATTTAATATACATAAAAAATCTTACTTAAAACTATTCAAATTATAATGAAGAAATTTAGATGTCAAACTAAAAGCAGGTGAAAGGTTACTTAAGTTTTCATCGTGATAGGAAGTGAGCAAAACTTCTGAAGACAACCATTCCATAAAAAAACAGTATTAAACAAATGATGGGGGTGGGGGACAAACTATAAATGATAACTAATCAAACAATTAAAAGTTGTCATTCATGATGAGCAAGTAATAAAATGCTCACCAGTTCAAAAGTGAATTTTTAGGTCCTTAGAGGCTTATTCCCACCTCTATCAATGAATTACTATATATATATATATATATATATACATACATATATATATATATGTATATATTTATATATATGAACAATCACAAACTCTAAATGTTTAATTTTGTCCATTTGCCAAATGAGGGCCAAATCTTATTTGAGGGGATGGGTTTATTTGTTGAGGTCACTGGTCAGTGAGGAGGCAAAATCAGTAGTTTCCATCAAAATTACCCTTAAATATTCTTCAAATGGCCCATTTTATTTCAGTGTATCACTGACAATTTATTAATTCCTCTAACTCTTGGTTGAACAGAGTTTCTCTACAGCCCTCAGTTAATTTAATCTTTAATTTCTTCTCTGAGTATAGAAATATATCCCTACTATCCACTTAACTGGTAAAAAGAACTGTTTCATTTCTTTGTCAAGGTTGAGAAAACATTATTATTTGACCACTGACTCGCCAGTATGTTACTACCTGTGGGTTAAAGTTACAGAGTAGGTTAGTAGTCAAAATTACCTATTTTTTTCATGCTTCATTGTTTGTCCAATCCTGTTAGTTGACACCAAGGAAGTTAAATACCCATATGATACAACTCTACCATAAACTTCAGAAGGACATAGTGGAAATCAATAAAATATGTGATACATATTACATACCTTTTATGTGAATAGAGTATATAATTGTGATCCTATGAGTTAGAGTAGAGGAGAGACTGAGATCATGATTAAATGACAGGAGAACAAGTAGCTGAGATGTGATGGAAGTCTGAACTGGGGCACTGCACTGGCAACTGAAGAAGCCAGGGTATTTAGGAAGACTCAACAAGATTTGGGGATCAAATGGACACGGTAGTTAAAGGTAAAAAATAATGAGATTTTTGAATTAAGTATAGTGAGGGAGGTTGATGATCTAAATGTATTTCTAGGCTGAAGGGAAGAAGCAGGTAAAGAAAAAGAGGCTTGAGATATAGGAACGAGGAGACTGATATTTAGAGCACAGATTCAGAAGCTGACATCTCTGAAGACAAGTGGAAGTTGAAGGAAAATGAGTTCAGATGCTAATAAGTTTATAAGTGAAGGGTTAAGAAGTTGAAGAAAAACATGCCACATGGCTCCCATATTAATTGCAAGTGAGAGGTAATAAGATCAACTGAGAAGAATATCCTCTATTAAAAGAGTATCCTCTATTAAAAAATACAGGGAAAGAAAAATGTCTTGGGAATGATGGGAGGTGGAAAAGAGCACGTGAGGTGAAAGATGGATTGTTTTGTTAAGACAAATGAAGGTAGAGGAAGCACTCCCAAAAAGGCTGAGAGTGCTAAAATATAAAAATGACAACTTATAACAAGCCAGGAGAAAGAAGTCCAAGGACTGAAGAGAATGCTCATTATTAGATAGCTATGAATTCTAATGAAAGACATTTGAGTTAAACAGAATTGACCCAAGGGACCTTAAGAAGGGTGCACAAGTGCAGGTACACAGACATGTGTGTCTGATCCAAGGCTCTGATTCTGTGGTTTTTGGTTCAAGTATTAGGAGGAATTATAGTGATGTACTTGGATGACCAGCTGGGAGAATTATAAGGTTATATACGATTAACTTATTCTTGGCATATCAATTTCCAGAGACCAAAATTGCAAATAATAAGTTCATCAGGGTACTTCATATTGCTCTCACAATTGTAAATATCTAATCCCTCACACTCCTCGAAAAAAAATTTTTTTTTAAATCTATCATACTATTCTTCCTCTGTGCTTACTTTGGTCCTACTGGTCCTGGAATGTATAATATCTAAGAAATTAAAGCTCATATTCAAGTTCTGCTTTAGCCTATTCCACTATTACAGTATCAGTTCCCTGTACTGCACATTTACATTTATCTTTAGTATTAAATTTTACATACCAGTAACCATAATGAAAAACATTATGTAAAAACACTAACCTGGGGCAGATGCTACATGGGTCTGGGTTTGGACTTGTTCTACAGCTTGTGGCCTAATTTCAGATAAAACTTGATGACTGGAACTTGGATGTTCGACGAGTTTCACTGCAGCTAGCGCATCAGGACCAAACATCTGAATATCCATAGAAACCAGACACACTAACATGTCTAAAATAAATTAAAAACCAATAGTTATTAGTAATATTATCAAACAATGACATTGCTGAAAAACACATGCTATACAGAATAACTGCTTCTCAGATGGCAGTCCCTGAACCACTGTACATCAGAATTATCTGTAGATCTTTGAAAAAGATTTTTAGGCTCAATCTCTGAAGACTGATTTAGTAGCTCTGCGATGGGGATTAGGTATCTTTATTTTTGAAAAGTTTCCCAACTGATTCCGATGTGTAGCCAGATTTAGGAACCACTGATGGAAAGTGACATCTTAATTTCTCACTAATAATTTCAAGCTAAATATCTGTTTACTCTGGTTTTAGTATTTATACCCAAGATAGAAATCATTCTAATCAATGAGTAAATGTTAACATACTTTCATAATTGTGTTTAAAACTGACAACCCACTAAAGAGGTGGTAAGTTGATTAATTTTAAGAATAATACCATTACCAGCACCTTCTAGGAATACAAGGAAACTTTTTCACTCAGCTTCAGTTGCTTAATAGTAGCAGCTGACCATTTGAAACAGAAAGACTTGCTCCTCAGAGTTATAGCAATTTTGTTGGTTGTTTGGTTGTATTTGATAAGTAGTAACAGAAATAAAGAAAGGAAGAGGAGTTATTGATAGCCACAAACACCCTGGTCCCTATATGACAAAAGTTTCTTGCTAATCTAAAACAGGCAGAACGAATAACACAAACATGTGTGTCTGAAAGGGTAATGACTCCTCAAAATAAATAATAAACCCCAAATACCAATTGTGATTTAGTATAGCACCCCATTAAATATTTTTTCCTCAATAAAGAAAATAAATGTTTCTTTGGTTTAATCTTACCTATGCTCTTTTCTACTTTTGCAATTTTTGTGCAAGCAACATCTCCCATTTCTGTGAGCATATATAGCACCTCGAGTGTTGAGATCACGAGCAGCACATCAGGTAAAGTGAGATGACAAATGATCTCTCTGTATGAGTCCTGATCGACATATTCACAAATCAAAACACCATTATCTTCTGCTTTGCAAAGATTTCCCAAAATTTCCATGCCTGAAAAGCGTACACACATAAACACATATTTATTTTTTAATAGATGATAAAAAGTCTGTGCATATTATACAATGAGAAAATTAAGTAAGTACTTACCCCTCATCTTTAAAAACCTATCCCTTGACATTAGGCATTTTGTAACAGTATGAAACATCAGATGAGTAGTTTTGAAATCGACGGGGTCCAACAGAAGCTGGAAAATGGAAAGGACACTATTGAGGTAGCCCTCTTCAATGCTCTATATTTCAAATTTAATAAAAATTAATGTTTTTTAATGTTTTTTTAACAGTGTTGCCCAAGTTTTTAAAAATTTACTGTGGGAACAGCCATCACTAAATCTGGAGCATCATTTCAAATATTTTTTCCAAAAAAGTGTGTAATACCATAGTTAGGCAAAACTATATGTAAGCCTTTCATATTCTCCAAGTATAGCAAATACAATAATGCTACATACTAAAAATTTAAAGTAAATATCATTGCTAACTATCAAAACTGTTTTAAGTTACTATCACATGCTTACCTCAGCTGCAATATTTCCTAACGTGTCAAGGCCTAATTGCCTTAGAGAAATAAAATGACTATGTGCAGAAAGTAATAGGAAACGAAGACAGGTACGATTAGCTGCCAAAAGCTTAACATTGCCCTCTTCAAAGGAAAGATTTCGCAAAATCACTGCAATCTGAAGTACCCGTTGTCCTTCAATATCATTAATGCCCAGCTTTCGAGGTGGATGAAATAAAGATTCCCAAATCCATTCTCCTGATGTACCTTCTATAATAGAACACATATATTTTACTTAAATTGATATTTCATTTATTATTGATATTTCAAAGTTACTTAAAATTTTTCTTCCTGTCTTACCATGAGACTTGTTTCTGTCAGAAATGAGGTCACGTACTTCATTATCATCAACAATGTCTTTCCAAAACTGTAATTAAGAAATGATTATACTTAATTCTGACATTTGAAAGAACTATTCTATTACTTTAAAAATAGTCACGCAGGGCACTGGGTGGCTCAGTGGGTTAAGCCTCTGCCTTCGGCTCAGGTCATGATCTCAGGGTCCTGGGATCAAGCCCCGCATTGGGCTCTCTGCTCATCGAGGAGTCTGCTTCCCCCCTCTCTCTGCCTGCTGCTCTGCCTACGTGTGATCTCTCCCTGTCAAAATAAAATCTTTAAAAAAAAAAATAGTCACACCTACTATAAAACTATAACATTTCTATTTATTTACAGAGAGAGGGAGAGAGAGAGGGTTGGGAGGGAATAAGGGAGGAGGGGGAAAGAAAAAGAGAGAGAGAAGGAATCTTTTTCTCCTTTTTTTAAAAAAGAGAGATGGAAACTGGATGGGGGAGGGGCAGGTGGAGAGGGGGAGAGAGAGAATCTTAAGTAGGCTCCATGGTCAGCACAGGGCCTGACTCAGAGCTCGATCTCACAACCTTAAGATTATGCCCTGAGCCGAAATCAAGGGTTGGACGCTTAACCAAATGAGCCACCCTAGTGCCCCTAAAACTTGTACTTTTAAAAATCCATGTATACATCATTATGTGCTATTTAATTAATTGACATAAATACTTAACTTTCTATAAGTTTAAGGTACTTAAATAATAAGGTATCATTTCAGATTAGGGATTCTTAAGCTCGGGTCCACAGACTTCTAAATGGTCTGTGAAAGAAATTAGGGCATCTGTGAAATTAAATGGAGGGAAACAGTGATAACTTTATGTTCATTAACCTCTAACTAAAATTTAGTATTTCCTTAGCAATGCCTTCAACGCTGAATGTTAGACAAAAAAACAAGTAATAGTAGCAGTACCTGGGGTATGTCACCAATATGAATTACAGATATTTTCTGATCATTTTACAGCTATGGCAAGTATCTAGAAATAGTGCTTATGCTCATTAGTATCTGAAAATTACGACAGTCATTAATTCTGTCATTAAGCAGCACACAATCACAGTATCCTGTTTACAGACATGCCTGAGACACTGCCTGGCTAGTTACTGAGCAAATCTACATTTAGAATAAAATAAAATATTTAAGTGGTGAAGTTGTGTTCCCCAAGTTTTTAACCCAGATATTTGACTTGCTTTCCAGTATTCCATATCTGTAAATTGTTTTTGATTCAAATGTGAGAAGAGATGAGCCAACATCCGTGGTCAATGTTCTTTTTCAGGCTAAGAATTAAGTGACCTTATACTACATAACTATACAAAATGAAATATAACTTGAAATTGTCTATGACACTTAATTGTATTACCTTGTTAGAAATGCACTAATAAAGAAATGCATGGACTATTAGTTCACTTTTTATTTCTAAACATTCTCATGTAGATATTTCAAAATAACTATATTTAGTTTTTGGAATTAAGATTCTTTCATATTTAAAGCCACTAGTCTGAGAAAATGTCCACCAGGAAAAGGATCAATTGTTCAAAAAAACTCATGAAAAAGAATATTTGGTAACAATAAACAAGAACTAGGCATAAGAAGAAAAAAAGACTATGTTTAATAAATAAGGCCCATAGGAAATTCAAATAACAAAGATATCAGACATGGAATTTTTGACGATCATGGATAATAAATTCAAAGAAATAAGAGACTGAAAAATTTGGCAAATAAATGAAAACTATAAGAATGAAAGAGAAATTCTACAACTGAAAAGAAAAATTCAGTTTAATGACTGATTATATACAACTCAAGAAAGAATGAACTATAAGTGTAGAAGAAAATACAATTTGGAAGCATAAAAAGGCAAAAGGTTGGGGGAAAAACCCATATAAGACACAGAACATACAGTGAAAAGTACTAACATAAAAATAATCGGAATTCCCGAGAATCGAGAGAGAGAATGGGCAGAAACAGGATTTGAAGAGACAGGGCAAAGAATTTTCTAAAACAATTTAAAGACGTTAACCTACAAATTTAAGTAGCACTCCAAATAATAAAGAAAGAGAAATAAAGATAGGAATCTTTATTTTAAGTAGGAATATGAAAATAAAAGAATAAAATTCCTGAAAAGCAAAGATACAAAAGAACCCCAACTTAAATGCAAAGACAGGAAAAAAAAAAAAAGATAATCTTAAAAAGGTCTACGAACTAAACTGACAGAAGACTTTGTAAAAAAATAAAATAAAATAATGGAAGCCAAAAGACAATGGACATTTTCTAAGCAATGAAAGAAAATATTTGCCAAACTTAAATCTTTAAACAGAGAAACTGCCCTTCACTAAAAATGAAACCTGGCAAATGAAAACTGAGAAAACTCACCCTCTATAAACCAGTAATAAAGAAAAATATGTGAAAAGAGAGATGTGGTTTAAATCAAAATAAATAATGAATGAATAAAATACTAAAAAAATGTTTTATGAAGTAAAAATATGCTTAAAACTAAAATCTAAAAAAAAATGCCTGGAAAGAACTTTTGGTCAGGCCATAATACAGTAATTAGTACTTTGGTAGTCCTCTTCCTATCATAAAACCAGTATGTATAAAACAACTGTTTTCAGAGACTGGACAACATAATCACTGAAATGTGGAAAACAAAGGAAGTGAGTTCAATCACTGCCCCATAGTTTTACAGACACTCTAGACTATAGTACAGAGACAATAAATCCAAGAGATCGTAGTGATTTCTAAGCTGAGGAAACTGATCAGAGTTCAGTAAGGCCAGCAGAAATGGAATTTGAGAGCAAATTTGCAAGAAAGAGGAGCAATGAAGAGAAAGAACTCAATGAATCTGCACGGGAATTTCTAGAGCTGATTGCTGAGTACTAAACTATGCATACGCAAGGCTGAACTCTAAAACCTCAAGCAAGGGGCACCTGGGTGGCTCAGTGGGTTAAAGCCTCTGCCTTCAGCTCAGGTCATGATCCCAGGGTCCTGGGATTGAGCCCCACATGGGGCTCTTTGCTCAGCGGGAAGCCTGCTTCCCCCTCTTTCTCTCTTCCTGCTGTTCTGCCTACTTGTGATCTCTGTCTATCAAATAAATAAATAAAATATTAAAAAAAATAAAAAATAAAACCTCAAGCAAAAAAAAAAAAAAGAGAGAACAATTAATGAGGAGTTATTAACTGAACAATTCACAAAATAGAGAAAACTCATTAAATACCCTGCAAATTCAGTAGAAATCCAAACAAAGCCATGCCTTAGGAGTAGGGATAAATTGGTGCTAGAGTAAAGACTAATCTATCTCCATCTTAACAAAGCTTTAAAACAACGTTCTAAAGGATCGATATGTCACAATCTATATGTCAACTAAAAGCATGCCAGAACAAAGTCCTACCTTCTTGAAAGTCACCAAAATCCAAACACTCAATAATGTAATATTCTCAATATTCATATCTAATAAAAAATTACTGCATGTACAAAGAAAGTAGGAAACATGATCCATAACTAAGACAAAAATAGTTTCAACAAAAACAGACCCAGAAGTAATAAAGATAATGGAATTAGAAAAGAATTTTAAACATTTTTGAATAAAATTTTCCTTTTTTATTAAATATTGGCAAAGATTTAAAGGAAACTATGAGCACAATTAGGAGGAAAATGGGATGATGTAAAAGAGAATCAAATAGAATTTCTAGAGCTGAAAACAGTATCTGAAATAAAAAGTATGACTAGATGGGCTTAACAGGATAAGAGAAAATGAAAACAGGATAATAGAAACATCCATGAAATACACAGGAGGAAAAAAAGATCTAAAAACAATGAACAGAACTTCTATAGCCTGTGAGACAGTATATGGTCTAACATTTGAATAAACATAGTCTCAGAGAAAGATAATTATCATATGATCTCTCTGATATGAGGAATTTGAGAGGCAGGGTGGGGGGTTGTGAGGGGTAACGAAGGAAAAAATGAAACAAGATGGGATCAGGAGGAAGACAAACCATAAGAGACTCTTAATCTCATGAAACAAACTGAGGGTTGCTGGGGGTGGGGAGGTAGGGATAGGGCAGCTGGGTTATGGACATTGGGGAGGGTATGTGCTATGGTAAGTGCTTGAAATGTATAAGCCTGATGATTCACAGACCTGTAGCCCTGGGGCAAATAATACATTATATGTTAACTTGAAAAAACACAACAACAACATAGTCTCAGAAAAATAGGAGGGGAAAGAAAAAAAATTTGAAGAAATAACTGCCAAAGCTTTCCAAATTTCATGAAAAATACCAAACAAGAGAGCTAAATAAACCCAAAGCAGGAAAAGCAAAGAAGACCTCAACAAAGCACATCCTAAACAAAATAAAAATCAACGATTAAGAGAATACCTTAAAAGTAATCAGAGAAAACACATCACACACAAAACAATATGATTAAAACTGACTTCCTGTCAGTAAAAATGCAAATCAGATGGCAATGAAACATTATCTTAAACTGCTCAGATAATACCCTGGAAACAATTTTATATCCGGCAAAAATATCTTTCAAACATAAAGGCAAAATAAAATTTTCAGGAAAATAAAAGCTAAGAATAAAAATTCAACCATATCAGTAATTTCATAAAGTATAAATGGTCTGAATGCTTGATGAAAAGGAAGAAACTGCACAAAAAGCAGGTTAAAAGAAATAAGATTCAAGTATAAGCTATCTTTAAGAAACTATATAAAACCACAGATGAAATGGGGTGTCCGAGTGGTACAGTCAGTTAGTTGTCTGACTCTTGGTTTCAGCTTAGGTTATGATCTTCGGGTTGTAAGATTAAGCCCTGTGTCAGGCTCCATGTTCAGCGTGGAATCTGTTTGGGATTCTCTCTCCCTCTCCCTCTGTCCCTCCTGCTCCTTCTTGTTCTCTCTCTCTTTCAAATAAATAAATCTTAAACACACACACACACACAGATGAAAAGCATAAGAATAGAAAAAGATGTAACATGAAAACATTAATCATAAGAAAGCTGCTGTAGATAAATTACAGCAGTGAAGAGACTTCAGGAGATGGGATATTATCAGAGGTCAGAGGAATGTTCTGTAATAAAAAATAAAAGCTAAGTTATCAATAAAATGTAATAATCCTAAATGTATATGCAACTAATAACAAAGGTTCAAAATACACAAAACAAACACTAACAACTAAAAGGAGATATAAATATTCACACTTTTGATGATTTTAACACTCATCTCTCAAGAAATCATAAAATAATTATATAGAAAAGCATAACTACACAAAAATCTTGAACACTGTCAAATACCTTGACTTGTTATTAATAAACACTGCACCTAATAATAGAGCATACATTGTTTTCACTTGTGCATGAAACAGTCCCTAAGACCATATGCTAAAACAAGTCTTGATAAGTTTAAAAGATCTTATATAGGGGTGCCTAGGTGGTTCAGGTGGTCAAGTGTCCAACTCTTGATTTTGGCTCAGGTCATGATCTCAAGGTCATGAGACTGAGCCCCATGTCATGCTCTGCAGTGGGCATGGAGTCTGCTTAAGATTCTCTCTCTTCCTCTGCCACTCCGCTGTCTCTCCCCCTGCTCACAGCATATTCTCTCAAAAAATAAATAAATAAAAACTAACTAAATAAAAGAACTTATATAAACTTATGTTCTCTGACAACAATGAAATGTGATTAAAATGAGTAATAACTATAACAATAATACTAATACTAAAATCTACTTGGAAAAAAACTCCAAAATTAAATATTATACTTCTATATAAGCCATAAATTAAAGAAGAAATCACAAGAGATATGAGAAAACACCTTTAACTTAATGAAAACTCAACATAAGAAAATTTGTGGGACACAACTCAAGCAGTTTAGAGAAAGAATTTATAGCTTTATAAACTGACATTAAACAAGAAGGAAAGTTTAAAACCAATGAACTAAGATTCTATTTTAAGAAGTCTGAAAAAGAGCAAAGCAATGAATAATGAGAGCAGTATATATAAATCAAAAGTGAGTAAATGGAGATGAGAGTTGTTCTAGTGTCCCTACGTTATCCAGAAAGTGGTAAAAGTACTAATTTTCTATATTAGTAAAAATTAAAATTATAATCTCTAGTGTAATCACTAAGAGAACAGAAAAAGTATATAAATACTAAATTAACAGTAGGCAGAATACTGAATAATAAACAATACTCAGTTAAATAAAAAGGTAAGAAAGGAGGAAGAGAAAAAACCAAAACCAAATAGGTAGGAATCTAATATAGAAACCAATTTGAAACACTGCAGATTTAAACACAATTATATGAAAATTACATTTAATGTAAATTGAATAAATGTACTAATTTAAAAACAATTTTTCACATTGGGAAAAAAAAAAGCTCAAGTATATGTTGTTTATTTAAAAAAAAAAAAAAAGGCCCGGGGTGCCTGGGTGGCTCAGTGGGTTAAGCCTCTGCCTTCAGCTCAGGTCATGATCTCAGGGTCCTGCGATCGAGCCCCGCATAGGGCTCTCTGTTCAGCAGGGAGCCTGCTTCCCCCCTCTGCTTCTCTGCCTATTTGTGATCTCTCTGTCAAACAAATAAATACAAATCTTAAAAAAAATTTTTAAAAAAGGCACAAAAAACATCTAAAATACAAGGATAAGCTAGAAAGGTTAAAGGCAAAAAAATACGAGCCACAGAAACCACAAACAAATGGAAGATGATCTTATATTGATAAAAGACCCCCCCAAAAAATAGTAGACTTAAAGGTAAAAAGGATACTTCATACGTTCAACTGACCAGAAAGATATAACACCTGTAAAGTGCACTATGTAACAGTCTTGAAATACAAAAACACAGTATTATAGAACTATAAGTCACATCCCCAGTCATACTAGGTGTTCTTAACATGCCTCATTCCATAAATGAAGAAATGGACAAAGCAGCCAGTACTGATATATAAATACAAATATCATGATTAACCATGTTGGCCTGATATACATAGAAATTTATATCCAACAACTTCAAAATATATATAAATATAAATAGTGTTTATAAAATCTCATCAGTGCTAGACTATGAAATAAATGAAAGTGGAAGTATTTCAGAAGTTTAAGATTATACAAAGTATATTGTTTCTGCATAGTGAAATTCAGTTAGATTTTTTTTTCCATTGCTCTTTTTTTTGAAATAACATATATAATGTATTGTTTGTTTGAAGGGTACACATCTATGATTCATCAGTCTTACACAATACCCAGAGCTTACTACCACACATACCCACCCCTATGTCCATTGCCCAGCCACCCCATCTCCCACCCCCTTCCCCTATGATCCCCTGCCTTGTTTCTTAAAAAGAAAACTACAAAAACTGTATTTTTTTGGATATTAAGAAACTTCCCTTTAAGAGAAGATATTTGCAAATGACATATCTGATAAAGGGTCAGTATCCAAAATATATAAATAATTTATAAAACTCAACACCCAAAAGCAAATCATCCAATTAAAAAATGGGCAGAAGGCATGAACAGACATTTTTCCAAAGAAGACATACTGATGGCCAAAGCAGACATGAAAAGATGCTCAACATCGCTCACCATCAGGGAAATACAAATCAAAACCACAATGAGATATCACCTCACAGCAGTCTGAATGGCTAAAATCAACAAAAACAAAAGACAATAGGTGTTGTTGAGGATGTGGAAAAGGGGAACCGTCTTTCACCATTGGTGGGCATTTAAACTGGTGCAGCTAGTCTGGGAAACAGTATGGAGGTTCCTCAAAATGCTAAAAATAGAACTACCCTAGGATCCAGCAATTGCACCTACTAGGTACTTACCTAAAGAATACAAAAATACTCATTTGAAGAAATACATGCACTCCTGTATTGATTTATTTATAGCAGCATTATCTATAATAGCCAAATTATGGAAACAGCCCAAGTGTCTTAAACTGATGAATGGATAAAGAAGACTGGCATATTTTTCCTTCTATATCTATATCTATGTCTGTATCTCTAAATACATAGAGTATATACATACAAAGGAATATTATTCATCCAACAAATGAATGAAGTCTTGTTATTTCCAATGACATTGATAGAGCTATATATATATATATTTAATAATGGTTAGTGAAATAAGTCAGAGAAAGATGAATACTGTATGATTTCACTCATATATTAATTTAAGAAACAAAATAAGCAAAGGGGAAAAAAGAGAGAGAGGTAAATCAAGAAAGAGACTCTTAACTACAGGGAACAAACGGATGGTTATCAGACAGAAGGTGGGTGGGGATATGGGTGAAATACAAGATAGAGGCTAAGGAGCACACTTGCTGTGATTAGCAAAGGTTGTTGTATGGAAGTGTTGAATCACTATACTGTATACCTGAAACTAACATTGCACTGTATGCTAACTAACTGGAATATTTTTTAAAAACTTAAAAAAAAAAAAAAAGAAAGAAACTTCCCTTCAAAACTATCCATGTATCAAGCAGATGTCATAAATTATAAGATACTCTGAGATATGAAAACATGAAATATCAGAATTGGGAGAATAAAGTTAAATATGTACTTAGAAAGAATTTTATGGCTTTAAATGTATGTATTAAAATGTATATATTAGAAAAAACAAAACTAAAAAATCAATGCTCTAAGCACCAAGAGATTATAAAAAGTGTGGTAAATTAAATCCAAAAAATATAGCATATAAAAAGAAATATAAAGAGCAGAAATTAATGAAAACATGCAAGAGAGGTGATCATCTAATCATCTTCAACATATTTGTGTCTTCTAGATTTCAAGTAATTAGCAATTATACTCACAACCCACACTCCCCATTGTGATTGCATAAATAAATACACAATTTCTGCATCTTACACTTTAATCACCACTTTTCTGCAGTTAAAAGGAAATCATCTGCTTAACTACAACCAAGAGGCTTGGGGTGAGGACACAATATAAGACTTTGGGTGAACTTGTGAAGTGGGGAATTAATATGCAACTCCATATCATGGTGAGAAACTAGAAGGTCTAACACCCTCAAATAAAGAGAGCAAAAGGAGTTGACTGTCTCTATTTGAGTTTGAGTTAAAAACAATCTCCCAAATATTTCACCACTAGCCTGCGCCACAGCCCCCATGAGTTTGGTTTTATTACCAGAATCATCAAAAAATCTCCCATAACAAAATTAATATAAAGCCATTCTGACCAGTATTTATTTTCTGGTGACTAGCAAATCCCAACAAGAAGTGAAGAAATGAACTCTCCATCCAATCCACACAAAAATCCCATAGAAAAGTCTGCTAAAATTTATAAACCAAGATTATAAGACATGAAGGAATAATCCACCCTGACTCAAAGTGACTAGAATTAGAATTGCAAGAGGCTTACGTATCAGAATTGTCAGGTGTGTGTGTTTTTGTACACATAATTTTTAACTTATATTTTAGATATTTATACATTTACATTTGTATAAATTTAATGTATACACAATTTGAATATTAATAAAGTATATTTAAAATATGTATTATTTGATTTACTAAAAGAATAAAAGATCAAAAGGGCAAATTTGAAAAAAAATACAAAGATGTTCTAGAAATTAAAACACACATTTTAACACATTTAACAAATGAGTCAAGCAAAATATTAGATACAACTAAAGAGCGATTAAGTGAACTGAAAAACAACCTTGAAGATTACTAGAATCAGAATCTAGGCATTCTCAGATTCATTGCTTTTGTTATAAATTTATCATTTTCAGAAATCAATGTATAATAAAAACAAAATTTTATTAGCCACTCCATTTTTTTACTCAATCACAACTTTTAAATAGGTATCTTTATATATTACACTAAAGATTAAAGTATAAGTGGTATGTATATAAAATAAGCAACCATGGATCCTTCGCCCTTGGTGACATGTAATTCAATGGTTCAATATTTAATGTGAGTTACCTTAACAAAATCTCTATCAGTCTTCTCCTTCCATTCTTCACCAAATACAGTAGAAAAGGATCCTAAAGCTAAAAGAATAAACAGTATATTCAGTACAATGGAATTATTCTTTCACTTAATTCCTTAAGATAGATGTGGAAAAAACAATAAAAATACATCTAAGTATCTTCTTTGCTAAAAACTATTTCATGGTAAATGATACAAAGTCATGATAATCTCTTTTGAAATATAATTTTTTAAATTACAGAATTAAAAAAAACTTGTTTTTCTATAAACTAAAAATACACACTCATTTTTATAATATTTATACAAACAATAGAGAAAAGAAATGAAGAGTACTATAACAGTTACTCTGCATTAGGCTTCATTTCTAGAGGAGAAAAATATCAAAAAGTCCAACTAATGCTATTGCTATCAGGTTGCCAGATTTTAAAAATTTTAAATCTTTATATTAATTTCAAAAATAATTGTGTAATTCATATTTCAAATAAAAAAGGGCAAGGCATTCTTTGGAAATAATTTCCACAAACGAAATCTCCCTTAAGAAACACACTCAGACCTATAGCTTCTTTGCATGTGATAGAGTCGTTCGGAAGAAAAATCAAATCATTCAATTCAAATTCTTAGTAACACTGTACCCTTAAGTCTCCCACAACAAAGGTTAAGGCATAAGTACATGTTACATAATTTTTTCCTCCTTTATACTGCCAGCTCACATTGTCAGTTTATGGAACCAGACAGTTAAGCAGTATGATACAAATGTCTTCAACTGTGACACAATAAGCATCTGCCTTTAAAAATTAGGGAAGTGCTTTCATCAACTATGATGGTATTAATTCTGTAATGAAAGCTAGTTCTTTTGGAATACAGAAAGAAAACTATAGAGTGGCAATTGTTAATAGAAAAACTAGTTTTGTGAACAAAATTCTTTAAAAAACAAAAACACACCTTAATGGATATGTTGTAACCACCAAAGCAAATGGATATATTTTCTGTTGTAAAAAGATTCACTGAATCTTTACAATCTTACTACGTCTTTAAGTACAGACCTAATATTTCCTTAATATTGAGTAAAAAAAAGTTTATGAAGTATTTAGATTAGAACAAGAATTTTCATTGAAAAAATATTAAAAAGGATGAGGAGTAAATTTTAACATAAATTAAGTTTATCAATGATATTAATATTAAAAACAGGGTCATGAGGATATGATAAAAGAACATATGTGAAAGTTTTTAATAAATAATTTCATAAAATAGCAAACTTACATATAAGTAGCAACTTAATTAGAAAAATGAAACCCACATATCACTAAAGAAGACCACTAAAGAAATAAAGTTTTGTTATAAAGAAAAACTTCACTGGGAAAAGAATATTGAATAGAAATATAAGATGGAAAAATTAAATTTTTTTGTCAAATAGAACTTTTACTATACTTCTTCAAATACACACAAAAAAATAGACACACTTTATAAAGGATGTGTCATCTACATTTATCTCATTAAAATTCCATGTCCTACCATTGGGGAGGGTATGTGCTATGATGAGTGTGGGGAAGTGTGTAAACCTGGCGATTCACACACCTGTACCCCTGGGGAAAAAAATATATGTTTATAAAAAATAAAATAAAAAAAAAAAAATTCCATGTCCTAAAAAAATAAATCAGGGGCACCTGGGTGGCTCAGTGGGTTAAAGCTTCTGCCTTCGGCTCGTGTCTCAGGGTCACGATCTCAGGGTCACGATCTCAGGGTCCTGGGATGGAGCCCCTCATCGGGCTCTCTGCTCAGCGGGGAGCCTGCTTCCCCCTCTCTCTCTGCCTACCTCTCTGCCTACTTGTGATCTCTCTCTCTGTCAAATACATAAATATTTAAAAATAAATAAATAAATAAATAAATAAATAAATCAAAACCTCTCAAAAGCCTAACCAAATCAAATATATTGATAATCCTCAAAGGATTTACTTTCCTAATGTGAATCACTGCTTTAGGCACAGGGTCTTCATAAAGTCCCTATGTAGTCTGGAACTCTAAACTTCTGACTGTTGAAATGATAGTAATATTCCTTAAATATCATTTGCTAGATTACTAGTTTTAGACTGCTACACTCATTAATGATTTAGGCTTTTAGATAATTGAAAGTGACTAAAAAATGCACGAAGATTAAACTAGGTCTGAAGAATGTCATGCCTCAGTATACCAAAACTGGTAAGGTAACTTTTATCACACACACACACACACACACACACACACACACACACACTCTCTTAATCCTTATCCAATGATTAAATGGTCAAGACTTAAATTATTCTGGTTTGAGAATATTTAATTTTTCTAAAAACTTTAAGGTTTCTAAATGTGAACATTTTTAACTTTATTCTCTACTAAATGATGGAAGATGTCCTTAAAAGATAAAAACAAGGGGTGCCTGGGTGGCTTAGTGGGTTACAACCTCTGCCTTCGGCTCAGGTCATGGTCCCTGGGTCCTGGGATCGAGCCCCCCCATCTGGCTCTCTGCTCAGCAGGTAGCCTGCTTCCCCCTCTCTCTCCACCTGCCTCTCTGCCTACTTGTGATCTCTGTCTGTCAGATAAATAAATAAAATCTTAAAAAAAAAAAGATCAAAACAAAGTATTAGGAACCACAGAACATGAAAGTAAGACCAAAATCCACCAAATTTAGATCTCCAAAGTTACAATACAAACTGAGAAGTACTTTGTTTCTCCCTCATGTAACCAATGAGACTTTCAGGCAGGGTAAGAAACTAGTTTTCACTTTTGTTTAAACATTTCAGAATTGTCTTCATACAACCTAAGTACCTGTCAAATTCTAAGGAATTCTACTTGGACAATCCCAAATAAAATTATGTTTTAAGAGTCTACTACCTGACCCAAATCAAACTGCAAAAAAATGAACTCATTTGCAAACATGTTGCTACTGAAAGATAAAAACAATAACTGTCATGAATCTATAAAATATTAAAGAAATTCTCTCTCAAACTATCTCTACTGTGCTATACAAATAGTTTCTACATGATAAAATAATTTCAATATGTCAATACCTTATCCTTTTTTTTTTCTCCATATATCTGAATTGTTGAGAAGACATTATGGGCAGTTTGTTCTTGAACTGCTCAGTCTTTTTCCCAGGGGATAAATTAAATCCCTCTCTCCTTGTGACTGTGTGCACCCAGAGCTTCCTTTTGATTCATGCTATCTACCCTATTTGGAATTATCCCCATAATTTAACCTTTAATAGTATATACTTCGGGGAAAAAAAGAAGTTACAATGGCATTGGAATAGAAGGGTTGCTTAGCAAGAAAAAATTGTATATCAGTAACATTCAGTCAACATATTTTAAAATGAAAAACCATGAGCAGAAAAAAATTTCAAAATATATTTTCTAAATCCCTTTTAACTACAATTAGAGAAATAAAAAATTTAATCTTTTTTTCTTTTTGAACAATTTAGTCTTAAGAGTAATCTAGATGTAACAAGACACAATGTCGTAGAAAATAAAGAATTTGACTTATAAAAATCTACAACTAGCAAATCCTATAAGTAAAAAGGATGTGAAATATCTGATAACTTTTACTTTATTTAGGCAGCAAATTTTTAAATACACCAACAAACTGTTTAATTAAAAATTACAATGACACATTAGGAAAAAAACAATTTCTTCCAGGTCCTAGTTTTTTATATCAAGATTTTGTATCAAACCATCTTCTAACACCAAGAAACCCTTATCACTACTCTAAGAAAAATCCAAGATTTTTATTTCAAAAGTTCTAGTGATATCATTACTATTTGAATATTTACGGCTAAAACCCCCCTTCATTATCTTAAATAACACATTTAATACAATAAAAGCAAATAAAGAATGCTATTATACCAATAAAAATTATTTTTCTCCTTAAAAGCCTTTTTTAAAAATCCCTAACACCTTTACAGAATGATCATACGATATGATAGGTTCAGCTTAAAACTTACTGTCATCAAACACCCCGGCATTAGCAAGTAATAAAGTGATGATTTTAGGGTCTTTTTCAAGTTGCATGACGTGCTTGCTTTCATTTGATAGAAGAGTGCATACATTAATAGCAAAGTCCACTTCATTTGGGAGTCCAGATAACAGTGAAAGCACCAATTTATTATAATCATTTGGCGAATTGAAGTCCATAGATAGCCCATAACTTTGACGCAGATAATCTAAGATAAAAATAAAACATCTTAAGTATATCAAGGATTAAAAACCATTATCATTAATATCATACAAATGCAAGACAGAAGCTTGTTTTCCTTTATAAAATTTAAATTAAGTAGAAGTTTAAAGAGTTCAACTTTCTAAACTTAAGTTAAAATTACAGTCTTCAGAAAGTATTAAAATACAAAAAAAAGTACTATTATACCCTCTTGGATATCATTACCAAATTATTAATATATCATTAGTTAAATGTACATACTCTACACTTTTTACTCTCCTACCAAGGGACCGTATCAGGTTTTTATATATTATAAGCCAGGGATACTAGTTCCTTTGAAATTTTTAACAATATCATGATTTTAGAGACTTTGGCTACCTTCTTTACCAAACTATAGGAGAATTATCATTTTTTGGGTCAGATTTATGGCAATATAATTAACAGTAAAATTCATGCTTTTTTGTTCTATGAGTATTGACAAATTTTTTAAAAAACCACAACCACAATGAAGATAAAGAATATTTCCATCACCACAAAAAGTTTATTTAACCTTTTCTGCAGTTAAACCCCTGTTCTACCCACAAACACTGATCTACTTTGTTTCTATAACTTTATTTCAAAATAACAAATAAATGGAATCATACAGTATGTAGTCTTTTTTTTTTTAAGATTTTATTCATTTGACAGAGATCACAAGCAGGCAGAAAGGCAGGCAGAGAGAGGGGGAAGCAGGCTCCCTGCTGAGCAGAGAGCCCAATGTAGGGCTCGATCCTGACTCTGAGACCATGACCTCAGCTGAAGGCAGAGGCTTAACCCACTGAGCCACCCAGGCACCCCCAGTATGTAGTCTTTCATATCTGATTTCTTTCAATCCATGTTGATGCATGTATCAGTAGTTTGTTTCTTTTTAATGCTACAGAAAGGGTAGAACACAATTTGTTCATCCATTCCCTAGATGAGGGACATCTGGATGGTTTTTGGTTTTGGGGACTTAGGAACACTGCTGCTATAAACATTCATATACAGAACTTCGTGCAGAAATATTTTCCCTTTCCCTTGGATTTCTGGACCATATATAAGTATATATTTAACTGGGTAAGAAACCGTGAAGCTGTTTTCCAAAGTGGCTTACAGCATCTTGCGTTTCCACTGACAATATACAGGGTTCCTGTTACTTTGCATCCCTGCCAGCATTTTAACAGCCAGTTTTAAATATTCTGAATCTAACATTTAATAAATATTTTCTCCCAAACAATGGCTTATCTTTTTTTCTTAAAAGTGTCTTTGAAGAGCACAAGTTTTAAATTTTGATAGAAGTCTGATTTATAAATTTTTACTTTATAGTTCGTGCTTTCGTGTCCTAAGAAATCTTTGCCTAAGCCAAGTTAACTAAGATTTTCTGTAAGACAATTAATTTAAAACATCTTCAAAACTTTAGGGGCACCTGGGTGGCTCAGTTGTTAAACATCTGCCTTTGGCTCAGGTCATGATCCCAGGGTCCTGGGATCGACCCCCACATCAGGCTCCCTGCTAGGTAGGAAACCTGCTTCTCCCTCTCCTACTCCCCCTGCTTGTGTTCCCTCTCTCACTGTGTCTAGCTCTGTCAAATAAATAAATAAAATCTTTAAAAACAAAACAAAACAAAAATCTTCAAAACTTTGAAGGTAAGGAAGATGGGCTTACAGAATACTAACATGTTACAGTATCATAATATTTAAGAAAAACATCATATTTCTAGAAATACTGACTCTTATTTTGGGTAGTGTAGACCTTGGTAGCTATGCCCTCAGACATATACCCCAAGTACATTTTTCACATAAAGATATAACTAGTTTAATGCAAAGACGCAAGAAAACAAGAGATAGAAAACCTCTAGATGAGACATTTCAGAAATACGTGAATTTTTAAAGAATTTTTTTTAAACCTTGCTAAATGGATTACAAGCAGAAATCTATTATCACAACATGCCACAAAATCAAATTATATAGGGAAGAAATTTATTTCCCACTTTAGACAACTGAGACGACACCTCTTCAATTCTCAAATAGTCTAGGAACTTCTCCCTAATATAATGATAAACAGGGGCGCCTGGGTGGCTCAGTGGGTTAAAGCCTCTGCCTTCAGCTCAGGTCATGATCCCAGGGTCCTGGGATCGAGCCCCGTGTCGGGCTCTCTGCTCCGCGGGGAGCCTGCTTCCTCCCCTCTCTCTCTGCCTGCCTCTCTGCCTGCTTGTGATTTCTGTCAAAAAAAAAAAAAAAAAAAATATATATATATATATATAATGATAAATAAGTTCCACAACAGAGTAATAAACTATTATGACAAGAGACTCTTTACAATATTTAAAACTGAATATCTGTTCATTTTCTATAATCTTGATAATAAAATTTCTAATAACAACATAACATAAACAAAATCTGGAGAAAAGGTAACAAAACTTCTGTGAATATAAGAACAGATTTTGATATTTCTATACTGGACACTGGAACTAAATAGTTTAGAGCTTCCATGAAAATGTCAGACAAATCTCTTTCAGAGAAAAAACTTTGAACCCACATTCAACATCTGTCACATTCTTGTTTATGTGAGTTCAATATGACCTCAAAATTGCTGTTGTTTGCTACTGAAGAATGAAAGATACCATCAGATACTCAATTCAGTGCACCCTTTCCTAAGTGACTTTGCCAAAGACATCTCCAATTAAAATAAAATAAATAAATATGATAATTACCAAAAAGTCCTTTATATCAGGCTTGGTAAAGATTTCTAACATAATGTAGGAGAAATTATTTATACGATTTTAAGAGCTTCCCTTTCATTCCCTTCCCCAAGGAAATGTGACTGAACAGCTACAATTTCATAACTGGTATGGGATTAGGAATTTATTTTCAACATTCTTGATTCAAAGTTTATACCAGTTTGCTGACAAACTTAATCTAAGGCAATCACTCTGAAAGGGAGAATTATTCCTGGAGTGCTGTTCACACTATAGAAATCATACAATACACTCTTTCTATTATTGGCAGTGATTATCATAGTCTTAATGTCTGTTAGACTATGGGGGATTTTTTTTTTTTTTTAAGACTATGGGGGATTTAAAGGAAAATCTTTACCTAAATAAAACTGATAAAATTAAAAACAAAACAAAACACAACGTCCTGTATAAAACTTTTCCAAATTTAAGCACCAAAACTGAAAATGGACAGAGGGCTTGACCTCCTTTTATCAAAAAGATTAGACTGGATTAATGATCACTAATATCCTCGCTAGCTCTGAAATTCCACAATTTCAGTGAGTTGTCATTTGTCAACTTTGTCTTTCATAATTTTTCTACTAAAGATATTGCATATAAATTTTTAATATATTTTAACTTAAAATTAATTTTTATTTTAATTTTAAAATGTAAGATGAACAAAAAATTACTTAATAATCTCCCTCTAATTCTGCAGAACTGACTGTATCCAAATGAATACCAATAACAACAAAATAGGGAAAGAAGGAAAGCAAAGAAAGGATTAGGTATCTGTGGTAAGGAAAAGTATGAAAAACTATGCAAATAAATGACAAAACTGTCATATATTGATGCTAGTGTTTAATAATCCTAAAACTCCAGGCAAAATCTACTCAATATTTTTTTGCCACTTAAAGCCGGAGTAAGTTTCTTTAAGGAAAAATCTGGCCCCATATTCTATCAATGTACAATATTACATCAACTAAAACTGCACTCCATGCCAAATGTCCTAGAGCTACTGTCAATTGAAAATGATTATTTCAAAATATTATTTTAAAATAGTTTTTCTTAATATCTCTAGATAAATATACTGATCCAAATACATATGTCCAAACCTACAAAGAGAGCAATAAGACACTATGACCGAAGATGTAGTCACAAATCTTCTATAGGTTCTAATTAAAATTTCCTGAAGGCTCCTAATCTACCACTATAAGTCTAATTTGGTGTTTATTTAAAATACACAGACACACACACATTGAAAGGTATGAAGCTTACTCTATTTACCTTAATGACAACTGAAAAGCATCTTAATAAAGGATTTGTTTTGTATATTGATAATCACATTAATTTTCAAACACTGTCATAATGTTGTTATGCCTCTTCCTTAAAAAAGCACCTTCAAATTCATAAATGCTGCTCTAAAAAACTACCTCTTTTCAGTGTGAATTAGATATATTATAGTCTGATGTTCCCCAGCAATTCCTTCTTTCTTTCCTTTCATTAGCCCCCAATCCTGATTTTGTTAAACATGCTACATGTTGTGTAACTGCTCAGATTCTCCTTTTAAAAAAAAGGCACATATATGACAGTATATCAGAAAGGAGTTATTCTAACACCAAGTTAAGCAATTCTGTCATTCCCTTAACTTGTAATAATCACTCTATCAATGACTTTCATTAGGCTTCTGAAATACCAGGATTATTTCACATCTTTTTCTCTTGAGGTAATCAGTTTAATTAGGGGAAGAAAGAAAAGAAAAAAATATACAGAAAAAATTTCATTCTAAACAAGATCAAAAGTAGAAATGGGTCAGCTTAGGGAGTTGTAATAGCAGACACCAAACTGTATTAAGCTAAAAAAATGAACAGTTCTGTTATTACTGTAATATACATAAAACACAGTTATATAAAGTTGAAAATGGTCTTAAAGATCATTAGTATAATGTCTCATTCAATGCAGGAATACCCTGTATAACATCCTTGAATTCAGTAATGGTCATTAGCCCTTTCTAGAAACAGAGAGTATATCACCTAATAAGTCACCCCATTTTATTTTATCAGCTTAAACTATTAGCAAGATTTTTACATGGTGACTTAGAATGTTCTCCTTTAATCTTGGTTCTTGAGGTAATTAACTACTCATTAAAAACAAAGTGAGGTTTGGTTTGTACTCATTGCCACCAACTTCCACTCCATTATACAACAGCATCAGATGATGAAGACTCTTCTAGTAATGATCAGATTCTAGGAGATTCTGTTTCTTTAATTATTACAGACTGGGAAAGAAATATGGAGTCAAATACAACATGAAAGAAACTTTGAAAATAGATAATGGATAATAAAATTAGTGATACTGACACAATGAGAAAGCTTAAATCTAGTGACAGATTATCTGTAAGAGACTGGGACTACCACCAATAAAGAATAATAGATATTTAAAAAATTGTAAATTTTATCAAGAAAATACCCTTAAAAAAGATGTATCTCTTCTTTTTTAGGCCAAATGTTGGTGACTGAAGAAAAGAGATGCTTGTCTCTTCAGAGTTCCCTTCCTAGACAACACAGTCCCAACACTCAAAGCTACTAAACAGAGGAACCCCTATTGACTCTGCCTCAATAACCTTTTTATTAAACTCTCAACCTAATCATTTTCGAGTCCTGATCTTTTTAGCTGCAGATTCCTCTGCAACTATTATAAGAATGATTTAAATGAAAAAGAAAAATCTTATCTGTGGTACCTTAGGAATAAATACTCAAATAGAAACATTTCTGTGGAATTCTGATGCTGGAAGTTCCAGTAATTGTAGAAAATCCAGTAGATGCTAAGTAGTCTTGACCTCCCTAACCCTATTCAACCTCCCTCTTCTCATTTTAGTGACTATTCAAATTAAACTGATCATTAGTTAAAAAAATAAGGAAAAAACTTCACTTGAAAGTACAGATATTTGTAACTCTGAAAATTCCTACGACTAAAAATCTTATAAAGTCTATTCAGAAAGAGCACTGACACCAATTAGGTGTTGATCTTTGAAAGTTGCATGTGCAAAGTAAAGGATTAATTCACTGGATGATGTCTATTTTCCTAATTCAAAGCTGGACAATCTCCAATGATACTTACCTGACACACTGTGTTGCTGGTAATTGTAGGAAGATGGAATTGCACCAATAGGAAGCTGTGGCTTTGGATTGCCTGGTGGTACCTCATCATCATCCTCCCCAAAATGATGAACTTTCTCGTACTTTTCTAGGTAACTGAAACAGAAAAACAACACAGCTGAGTTTTACAAACAGATTTACATCTTATTTTTTAACTCTTACCACATGTATCTGTTTTCCTTCCCCAGAGCCCCTAAATTTAAAAAAGAGTTAAGATACCACAAGCCTCATATTAGGGAAACAGTCACTTCAACAGTGGTACTGCAGACAAACTCAATGCAATGCTTCTAAGTGTTCTTATATTTTCAGAAAGACCACACCATTACCCAAATATCAAAGACAAATACATGTACATGAATGGGAGAACATTTGATTTATTGATTAAAAAAATTATATGAAGTCATTTAAAAGCCAAGTGAAAATGAGAAGATTCTCTAACCCTAGGTCCATCCTCAACCCCTAGTTTCACTCATCAGGTTCACATGCATACTGGAATACTCTATTTTCTGTGCCTAATTTTATTTAATGATATATTTTATAGACCTAAGTATGTAAGTACATTAGTACTGCTTGTTTTTCTTAACAGCTGCATAATATTTGATCCTATTCATACATCATAATTTAACTAGATCTCTAGTGTATAACTACTTTCAAGTTTTGCTTTTTGCTATTACAAATGATGTAACAGCAATAAACGTAATCTGTGCGCTTATTTGAATATTTTCTCTGGACAGACATTGGAAATGGTATGCTCATTCTAAATAAACTCCCATCCAAAAGTGATAGCCTAATATATTTTAACTAATTTATAAGATAGTTCCTATATCCCCTACTGTATTACCACTACTAGAAATGATTAATCCTCTTTTTAAATTTCAAATTTTACTTTTTAAAAATTTTATTTATTTCAGAGAGAGAAGGAGATGGTGAGAGAGTGCATGTATGAGCGGGGAGGAGGAGGTGCAGAGGGAGAAGCAAACTCCCTGCTGAGCAGGAAGCCTGAGGTAGGCTCGATCCCACGATCCCACTCCCACGACTGAAGCCCAAGGCAGACGCTTAAGCAACTGAGCCACCCAGGTGCCCCTAATGCTCTCTCTCTTCTTTTTAAATATTTATTTATTTGAGAGAGAGAGAGAGAGAGAGAGGAGTGTGAGTACGGGGAGGGATAGAGCGAGAGAATCTACAAGCAGACTCCCCGTTCAGCCCAGACCTCCTCCCAACCCCTCCTGCCAGGCTGGCTGGATTCCACCACCCATGATGACATGACCTGAGCCAAAACCAAGAGCTGGGACAGTCAAATGACTGAGCCACGCAGGTGCCCCGGTTAATCCTCAAGACATCAATTACAATGAAGTTTCTAAATTCTCAATCTATCATCACCTACCAGTTTAAAATAAGATTCCCAGATAAACTTTTAAAATAGTGAAACAACTGGTCAAACCCCTATGAAGTACAACACTGTAGCTAACAAACTTGTTACTGCACTTCACAAATCAGAAGTTGAACTGATTAATACAATGACTTATATTTGCCATAGAATAGTTCTAGATGTGATTATTTTACAGATCAACCCTTTTACCAGTCCTGATCCAAGCAGGTACTAAATCCATTAGTAGCTATTTTCAAAGTCCTACAGCTACCCACCCCTTTGCATTTTAGTTATAGACAGCTGAAATGAGAAAGGGGGATTATCAATGAAGAAATACAATGATTTTGGAAGTTTTATTCTGAGTACCAAATCTTAACTTTCAAGGTGGGATCAATGCAAACTACAATTTTACAAATATAAAAACTAATGACATTGAAAATCGTTACCATTCCTTATTTTCCCTTTTCAGCTTTACAAGGCACAATAATTCACATCTTTGAGCCTGGAAAGGAACTGAACTGTCCCTTTCCCCTCCTTCTAAGTTCTCCATATAAATTCAATTTGAGCAAGGAACTCTTTCCTAGCTGGCAGTTTGATAGCTAATGAATCCAACACTTTTCTTTAGTGTTGGAGATACAGCATACTAAAGCAGACACATATGTGCAGGTATACCCTTGAGCACTGAGGAGAGAATATATTTCACCCTGATCCTGGGGATGTCACCCAGCAGATAGACTTATAGTCTAAAAACATAAAACAAAAGGATGATTAAAAAGAAGCCATCTCTCTCCAGGATAGACTGACAATGGACTTAAATAGGTAAAGAAATCAAGTCTACTTTTTTTGGGTTTCTAATGCAGATATCATAAAAAGAAGTGTATATATAAATACAGACACAAACAGCTGCTCATAAATTATGTGACATATTTTCTGCAAATGAGGGATTATCTACATCACTCAGGAAATAGTATTGACAGAGGTATTTAGAGAGTACAGTCTTTTGGAATTGGAATGGTTAGAAAACTACAGATAAATAATCTTTATTAAATAATATTTATCAAAATAGAATCAAAACAACAATGAAGATAAAGAATTTTAAAATAAAAATCTTTGATGACAATATTTTTAAGGTTCTTTCTATAAATTTGTTAGTCATAACTGAGCACAGAAGATTTAAAATTTATGTTTTTTATTACAGTTGGGAAAGAAAACAATATTACTAGTAAAGAAGGACCATAAATATGATTTTTCCTTCCCAAATACCCAAAATGGAGTCCAAGCAATACAGAGCTTGATAACAACACAAGCACTATATACTCATAACAGTGTATTATACATATGCAACCTTTTATAATTCAATTTTTCTGAAACTATTAAAAAATGACCTCTGACTCCTTGACATGTTCTACTCCTATTCCTCTAAACAGGTTCTTAATTTCACTCCCCTAAAATCTGTGGTGTAGGCAAAATATTATGATTTTTTTTTATTTTTATTTTTTTTTAAAGATTTTATTTATTTATTTGACAGAGAGAGATCACAAGAGGGCAGAGAGGCAGGCAGAGACAGAGAGAGGGGGAAATTGGCTCCCAGCTGAGCAGAGAGCCCGATGCGGGGCTCGATCCCAGGACCCTGGGATCATGACCTGAGCTGAAGGCAGAGGCTTTAACCCACTGAGCCACCCAGGCACCCCAAATATTATGATTTTTGAAATTTTTATGTTCCTGGCTTGAGGACCAGTATTTGTTCTGTAATGATTAAATATTTCCAACTGAGACCCAACACTTCTCTGTTCAACTAAGGTTTTGGCACACAGTTTTGATCTCTTGTCTTTCTCAATAAACAAGTACAAAGTATTTGGCTTTTCACGGAGTTATATACTTCTAAAAACTAAAAAGTAGTAACAGATAAGAGCAGCTAAAATACAGAGTTACATTTCAAAGTCTAAGTTTTCCAATATAATTCTCCATCATCACCTTGAGCTTATACACTGAGAGATATTCTGTGTTCACTCATTAAATTATAAATGCTAGACTATATTTCACTCTTATCAAAGTCAATGACACCACATTGAATAGTTAATATATTAATCAAGCAAGTATTTACTGAGCTCTTACAGTAATCTGCCTCATACATTACATATTTAACTCAAGACTGGTAAAATACTGGAATCGAGACAGGAAGAGATTCAGGTGGGATGAGTTTTATCTTCTTTTTCTTCAACTTGGCCTTAATTTACTTTACAGTAGATTCTCTGTCACAGGTTACAGACTTAGAGGAAGGCAAATGTGAAAAGTTGGCATATAATATAGAAATTATTTTAAATGGTACGGTTTAATTAAAAACTTAATAAATGTGACTGATAGAAATATAATACAGAGGGATGGATTAAGAGTTCATTTAAAAATAGCATCAAATAATATGGGCAGTATTATTATGAATATGGGAAAATTAAACCTCTTACAATATCTGACAGACCAAGTAAACAAAAAAATTAGGCTGTAGAAAATTTGAGTATAATCACCAATAAGATTGATTTACTAGACATACAATGATTTTCTTTTCAAAACTCCATGGAAATTACAAAACTGATCATATATCAATTCACACAGAACACCATAATAAATTTAAGATTAAACATTATATAGGCACATTCTCTAACCACAATGTAACTCAAAGAAATTAAACTCTTGGATAATTAAAAATAACTTTCATGATATAAAATTCCAAACCCATATGCAATTTATCTTCACAATCCTCTCTCAGATTAAAGTAATTCCCAGATATCATATAATTTCAACTGTAAATATTCTGGTAGAATTCTTGGAAATTAAAAATGACATTAACAACAACAACACTCAAGAAAACTCTTGATTATTCTTGGATCGAGGGAAAAAAAATCAAATGTAATGATTGGAACACTTCTATATAACAACTTTTTGAACTGTTTTTAGTTAAAGATGACAGTTCAAGGACCCATATTCATCTCTTCCCTTAAATCTGATTGTAATGACCTTTAAAGGATAAAAATAGAGGAATACAGCATTATTTGTAAGTTAAAAACTTATAGAATTTCTGATCCATGAAAAGCAACTTCAAGGATCTACAAGACTAAGTTGCAAAACACTTCTTGAGAGAGTAATGTGATCTAGTGAAGGAGATCCTAGGCCAGAAAACATACAGGAAAGTTCAATTTGGATTTCTTTCAACCAGTTTTGCGCAGTGGCAGTATTGTAGCCAATGAGGTTTATCCGAGGCTTGGATTATTGCTAATTGGATTTCCTTCAACCACTAAAGGTTGAATGGAAAGTGAGGGTGCGTCTGATAATGAGATCCAGAGAGTGTCAATTATTTGAAAAAAGAACATACAGAAAGTCGAGTTGAACTCAGTGGTTGTGCAGGGAGGTAAAGTCCTTTATAAATTTCACCTTACAGGGCACATGTGCCCCAATATTTATAGCAGCAATGTCCACAATAGCCAAAATATGGAAAGAGCCCAAATGTCCACTGACAGATGAATGGATAAAGAAGATGTGGTATGTATGTACAATGGAATTTTACTCAGCCATCAAAAAGAATGAAATTTTGCCATTTGCGATGATGTGCATGGAACTAGAGGGTACTATGGTTAAGTGAAATAACTCAATCAGAGAAAGACAATTATCATACGATCTCACTGATACGTGGAATTTAAGAAACAAAACAGAGGACTGTCGGGGAAGAGAAGGA